ACATTTATATAATATTAAAAACATTTTTAAAACAGCAAATTTGCATGAATTAAATTTTATTAATCATGTTTTCATTAAATTAGATTAAAGTTTTGTTGTGCTCTTTGTGTAGTAAACTGTTAAGTAATCATTACATTTATAGATGTTTATATATGTTTAATTAAATTTAATGGGAATCTGTGTGTGTTTACAGTCTGGATCATGGAGGAGAGAAGAGGATTAAAGCATGACCAGACAAATGTATGTACACACAGACACACACAGCTATGGTGAGTGTTGTTGTGTTATAAAGCACTCAACTCATTCTGTCTGAGGAGAACAGAGAAGTGAAGTGTGTGTGGGAGAGTCAGCCGTATCCTGATCATCCAGACAGATGAATCATCAGTCAAACTGCTGAAGACTGAAGAGAGATTTACCCATAACCCTCTGCAGGATCAGTCAGTAACAGTGAGATTTTCTGTGGTCTCCCCTGTGTATGTGTGTGAGAGAGAGTGTATGTGTTCATATATAAAAGATAATTTAAAAAAAATCTGAATACTGTGTGAATCTTTGAAATACATAATCAACACCTTACAATACTGAAATCAGCTTCAGAGCATTAGTAATGTATGACAATTATCACACAGTCAACCCCCACCACCAGTCTCCTTGGTGGACAGGAGTTTGGCTAAAGGAATAAAATGGGTTGCCTTGTAGAACCCACCATCATCAAAACAAAGTTAGTACCTCTCGATTGAGGTAAGCCAGAGACAAGAGTCACGTGTGACCAGGGGCGAGAGGGAATGGGAAAGGATTGTAACAGACAACCAGCTGATTAGAAGTTTTATTCTGGGCAGATACTGCACAAGCCAACACAAACTGCTTGATGTCCTGGGTCATAGATGGCCACCAAAATCACTATTGAATAGTAGCCAGCGATATACAGACTCCAAGGTGACAGGCTACTTTGAACTCATGACCCCACTGAAGGACTTCTGGTCTTAACCTAACTGGCAAAAAGAGGCAACCTCAGGAACCACTCCAGAGCTTTCCATGAGTTGGGGATTTGCCGCTCGGCTATGGCCCTTACATTAATGTGATCAGCCCTGATGCCCTTCGTTGAGACCATATGCTTTGGTACACAAAGACAAATCTATTTACCATGTCCCTCAGCACATTGTTGACCAGTGGCTGAAAGACAGCTGGGGCATTAGTAAACCTGAAAGGTAAAACCTGGTATTTAATGTTTCCTGTGGGTGTGTTGAATGCTGTCTTCCACTCATCCCCCTCATTTTTCCAGATTAGGGCATTGCGAAGGTCGAGTTTTGTAAAGATCTTGGCTCCCTGCAATAACTCAGAGGCAGAAGATATCAAAGACACAGGGTACTTGTTCTTAACAATAAGGTAATTGAGACCTCTGTACAAGGACACAGAGAGCCACTTTATATCAAAGAAGAACCCAGCCCCAGCTGTAGAGGAAAAGGGGCGAATTAAGTCAGCTTCTATAGACTCTTGAATGTACTTGTCCATGTCCTCTCTATCAGGAATAGAAAGGAAATACCACCAACCCCTGGGCATAGAAGAGCCTTGGACTTTGGCACAATCATATGGTTGGTGGGGAGGTAAGAACTTGGCCTGGGACTTGCTGAAGACCTGGCACAGATCATGGTACTCCGACGGGACTACAGAGAGATCTAAAGCTTCTAAAGATCTAAAGGACACGAGGCAGCACCCTGACACATAACAAAAGAAGACTGACTCCAAGATAACACAGAATTACCTGACCAGTGACCTCACAGTGTTTGCCAGAGATAATTAAATTTGCAGATGGGGTGGAATGGTGATGGAGGTGATGGTAAGACCAATTAGGAAGCAGACACTGATAGGGGAAGAAAGAGAGATTGCAGGAATGCTACAGGACACGGCAGTGGTACTGTTCATAAAGTTGCCCCTTGCTTCAGAGTAAATCAGGCCACAAAAAAGAATGGATGACATCTCTGAGCTGGAGTGAGGCTGACAGTGAGGTACAATGTGTGAGGGTATCAGAACAAGGAAAGGTGCCCACCAGGATCCCCTGGACTACTGGTGAGTTGGGCTTTTAAAGGAGATCCCACAGTACAGACACAAGCACCTAGCCAGAAAACAGCCTAGATGCTGTTTCTCCTTGGTAGTTAGTTGCAGGTGTCCATGCAGCATCAGCTCCTGGTCAGAATTTGGTGGTGGAGTGTGTAGAAAACTTGAGACACCCTCATAAGACTTCCAGGAAGGGCGAGTTGCTCGCTGAAGTTGACTGAAATGAAGGCGACCCTCAACCCAAAATCAACCAGGGCATCAAAAAAGTTATGGGCAGGCCCTGCCTTTAAAGGGGGTGATCGTGAATGCTACTCTGGATTCCTCAGTGATGGAAGGATGAGGCTGGAGAGCAAAAACAAGGAAACACTGGCAGAGGAGAGACTAACAGGAGCTGGGATCCCCAACATAGGCTATTGGGCTGTTTGCTTGAGGCTCAGGTTCAGGGTGGAGAGGAATGGCTGCCTGCCTGACGTCTCTAACATAAGGCTGACGCTGCTGGACTTGAACGTTGGGTTCAGTTACAGGTTGTTTAGAGAGATCAGCAGAAGGAGAAACTAAACCAAACTAGGACATTTGGAGTCTAGATAAATGACAAGACACAAGAGGACAATACAACTTTTAAGATTTCTTTTGTGGTTTTGATTTTTGAGTATATGTTGGGGTGTAAATGAGCAGATGTTATTAATGCATACCTGCCAACATTTCTGTTTTTCCTGGGAGTCTCTCGTATTTCAGAACCGTCTCCCGGAAAACTCCTGGAATTTCAGGAGTTTTGATGTGAAATTTTTATTTGTTTAGAATTGGTTTAAAATCTGTCATTTAAATACATTTCGACATGCATTTTCAAATAACTTCTATAATGTAGAGATCAAAATTCAAAAAAAAGTTTTCAATTTTAGACGTAATCCCAAACTCTTATAAAAAGTCCTTACTATTTTCAGCAAGTAAACCGACAATGTATATTTCAACACACATTTCAACAATGATTAAACTCCTGTGACTTCCTCTGACAACATCATATTTAGTCATTTTTAACAGTTTTTTTTAGTGTAGTGATAATAAATGCTTTATCTTAATGATGGTTGTTTACTCTTCTTCTGTAAGTTTGTCAAAGCCCTGGTTGTGGAATACATCTCAGTAAATTATGATATTATTGAAAACTTGATTTATTTTAGTAATTCAATTTAAAAGGTGAAACTGGTATATTGGATTGATTTATTACACACAGACTGATTTATTTCAAGTGTTAATTTCTTTCCATTCTGATCAGCTTACAGCTAATGAAACCCCACAATTCAGAATCTCAAAACATTGTAATATATGATGGCCAATGACTTTTTTTAAAAGGGATTTTCACACAGAAATGTTAGACTGCTAAACATTATGAACATGTATTCAATGCTTGGTCTGGGCTGTTCTTGCCTGAATTACTCCAGCAATGTTTACAATACTCCACAGATCCTTTATGAGTTTTCTGGCCAATCCAGTACAGCGATAAAATGGTCCTTAAAGCAGGTGTTAGCACATTTGGTAGTGTGGGCAGATGTCAAGTCCTGCTGGACAGTCAAATCACCATCTCCATGAATCTGCCAGCAGAGGGAGCCATGAAGTCAATAATATCTGACTGCAGACTAGCATTTGCAATGGAGACACACAGCCTCAGGCACAATGCACTCAATGGAGCTGGTGACGTCAATGTGAGGGGTATGGATGCTCCCCAAACCACCACTGACTGTGGAAACTTAACACTGGACTATAATAAACTTTAATTCTGCGCTACTACTTTCTCCTTCCAGATCTTGATTTCCAAATAAATGCTAAATTCTACTTTCATTTGATGAGGACTTTGGCCTATTGGTCCTTTTTGTCTTTAGCCCAGATAAGACACCTCTAACACTGTCTCATGTTTTCCTCTATTGTAAGTAACACCTGGCGGATCTAGTGTTGAGCTCAGAGTGCATACTATTAATAATTCACCATATGGACACTGAAGGGTTATTCTCACTACATTATATTGTACTAGCTGGAGCTTCCTAAACTGGCATTAGCATATAATATCTGACAGTAGTCAAGCTCTGAGGAAAAACAAGAGTATCCTATTATATAATATCATAGTATCTATACCAATTACACCCCTCAGATTCTTTCTGCTGTATTCTCAATATGCCATTTTTACCATGACAATATTAAAACCTTTCCTCATAGTTGTCCTGAAGCCACAGATAAACATTCATTCTTGTCTGAAGGCAAATTTGGAAATCTTTATTGAATTATCATTGTTGGAGAAAAATATAATGTGGAATTCAATGGTAAAAGGTGTCGAGCTTTCTTCTAATTAAGGTCTTTTGTGTTTAGCAGAAGAAAGACAGTCAAACCGGTTTGGAACTCAAGAAGGGTGAGTATATTATGACTTTTTTCACTTTGGGGTGAGCTATCTCTTTCAGTATTGTTCAGAGTCCTCTCAGATTTCATCTCAAATTCCTTGTTATCTTCTTGAAAACTTGTGCTCAGAGAAACTGCACAAATATTGTCTGTTCTAGTGGTGTGTTCTCTCAAGGACACGCCCACAGTCGGGAGAATCCCATGAATATTAATGTCAACGCCACTCGGTGGAACCAATAACATTTCAGGATATACCTGTAGGAGCGCACAGGTGTGTTTTAGTGAACTGAAGAGTCACAGAGCTCAAATTCTGTTCCTGCTGCACAAGAGCGTCTGTACTTCAGCATGTAAGTTTAATACTTATACCATTATGCTTGTTAGTGTTTGGTAAAGACCATCCTGTAAACAGGAAAAAAACTCCAAAATGCTGATGTTCTTTAAACAAACTGTGTTTAACCCATAACTGTGTAATGATATCTCAGTATATTGTCATCTCCAGGTGATGGTCAGCGGCTGATTGTTTCCTGAAAGCTCTGCTAATGTCTGCATTGGTGTTTTAGCTGCAATATGGCAGAGGAGCGAGTAAAGGACTCTCTCTCAGAGAAACACAGGTATTGACTCTGTTTTCACACCATTATTTCAACACTTTCTCTGAAGAACAAACACCAACAACAATGCACTTATTTGTGTTGCTATTGCCTGATCAAATGATGGACAAAGCTTCAGTTTACACCTTCAGGAAATGTTTTGAGAGTGTTCCGAGGTGTATGCGATGCTTTTAATGCGCACACCTCTCCATATGACATAATCACGCCACCGCTAACCCGACCCCTCACAGTGACGTCACTACCTCCACTGAGTGCAGTCTCAGCTTGCTCATGCAAGGCTGTATCCAGATACTATTGAATGTGTTGAGATCATTGTAGGTTATAAACAGCTTGGTCTGGTGTCATATTTACCAGAGCTGAATTTACTTAATTTGTCAAGTTATAAGACCTGTACAACATTAGAATTAACCGCAGAACAGTTTCAGCAGACCTGATCAGACAGACCTTCAGTCAACTATTAGTTAGTGCTAAATTAAACTGAGCAAACTCATATTTGGCTGATAAACTCTCAAAGGAGATTGAAGTTTGTCCTGCAGTTTATTCCTCTTGTGTGTTTGTCTCTTCAGTGTGAGATCAGGATCATGTGTGAAGAGTGACTGGTCTAAAGAGGATCCACCAGAGTTCAGTGAGGAAACACCATCACCTGCCCAAAGGTATTTTGGTGTTTTACATGCACTTCAAAGTATGTTGAAATTGGTTGTACTATTGGACAGCTAACGATTGAACTGATGGACTGTGCCTGTCAGGACTCCTGTTAGGTTGTGGTATTGTTTTGGCATTGTTTTGCCTCTACTACCGTGCTCCCTGACCCAGTTTCGCTCCTTTGTATTCAGTTGAATCAGGGGTGTCTTGTGACATCCTCCTTTGTTCTGTTTCCTGCCTTGGTTGCCTCATTAGTACATCTATGTTGATTGTTATTAGTGTGTATATATATCTAGGTTTATGTGTTTTAGCAGTCCAATGCCCTAACCATAACCCTCCACATTCACCGAGGACATTATTGTATTTTGCCAAGATCTACTTCCAGCCGGTGCAGAGTGATGGCTTCAGTCCCTGAGTGCCTGCCAATCATGGCTTTAGTCATGCCATCCAGGTTCCTTGCTCCACTGGTCCCAATCTGACTCCTTGCTCTGTAGGGTCCTCTCATGATCCTTGCCCTGCCAATACAAGTCTAGATTCTAACTCTATCTGCATTTCACAAGCTACCCAACCTTCCGGCCCCAGACCAGCTCTTAGCCTTGTTGCTGAGCCCTGTATCCAGCCACACCCATCCCAGGCTTGCTTCCAGCCCAGTTTCCCCCCAGTCTGATGTCCAATAATGTAATGTCAGAATTGTGTAGTCTTTGTTTATGGTTTTCCTTTGTCAATTGCACTTGCCGAGGATTCCCTTTTGTGTTGTGACACAATGAGAATGTATAGTGAGAAGGATCCTTTTACCCAGCTCAAGTGGAGAATTGAATTGTCCAATTTCTGTTTTTCACCCCTGGTCTGTCTAAAAACATGTCTCTTTCCATGCACCTCACCGGCTTCAGGGTTTCTTGTATATAAATTCTTCAAGTCATCAGAAAACGTTTCTAATTTTTATTTTCATTATTGATGAGTTGAATGTTTTATATGTTATGATTCATGTAAGTGAGCTTTGGGTTATTGATTAACATCTGTAAGAAGTGAATTGATTTAGGTTCATTCAGTTTGAGTGGAATGAGTCAATTTTAGTGAGCCAAATAAGTTTTAAGGTTCTTCATAAATTTGACTACACTTTCAACATATTTTCAATATACATACTTTTAACACAAAACATGCAGCCACTTACAACCGGCTGCTGCCAAACTGAAAGGAATCCAAACATAAACTTCAGGCCTGGTCCTCTCTCGTCTTCCTAAGTTGTCACTCCTCCTTTTATGCCTCTGAGACTCGAGACCGGTGTGCAAATGGGTGATGCTTGTTAACAGTGATGCCCCAGCTTTGCTCCATTCCTACACATCTTGGCCACATTCCACTTGTGAAATTCGCCCATCACCCCTTAAAAGACAGGTGGCACCCCAGGACTGTGCTTACTCCAGGAAGGGGCTGGAACCTTGGTGGATCCACAGACTTGGAAAGCACAGGGGCAAGAGAGAAAGGAGACAGAAGCATATGGAGAGACAGTGGAAACAGGAAGAGGGGATGGAGGGGAAAAAATAGGGTTTGGTTTTTTTCATGAGGGCCACCATTTGGTCCTCAACCAGTTGAAAGGTCTTAAGTAGCAGTGGACTTTAAATATCATAAGAAATGTTATGTTAAATATATCTCCCTCATCCACCTCTCTAGGATCTGTGACAACTCCTCCAGCTGGGGGTATGCTGCTGCCCTAGTAGCAAATAATTCTTGCCCAGATTTGGCAAAAAGCTGGCACAGCAGGCATTCATCCGGCACTGGCATACAGCATGTGGGCCAAACATGGCCCGTGTTTGGCAGAGGTGGCACCGTTTTTAAGGCGGCACACAAGATTTGGGCCAGATGAAAAACGTAGTATTTGGCCCAGATTTAAAAATTTGATAAGTGGGCCATGTGAGTTTGGCCAGTCTTGACCCACATTTAAAATACACTAAAATCATTTTTGAGTAAAGAAAAAAAATTCTACCAATCAGGTCCCTTTGAGAAAAAGCGTGCCCATAGTGTGCCTAAAGCGCATCACTCCATGGGTTTATCAATTTCATTGCAATCGTGACACACCAACCTATCTGGCCCAGTTCAGGCCCAGTTATGAGTTATTAACTTGGCTGAGACTTGGCCCAGATATGGTCCGTGTTTGGCTCTTGTCTGGAAGCCAGATTTGGTCCAGTCATGTACCGTTATTCACTGTGGCATGTGGGCCAAGCAAAACCTGATTGTGTGGGCCAGAGCTGGGCCAGAGAAATTTTGCTATGTGAGTGTGTCCTTATTCCCCCTCTTCCTGGTATACAGTGGCAGGAGCATGTAAACACAAACATGGCTCTTTAAAATGAAATAAATCCTCATTGAGCTACACTACTATTACTAAACTACTTAACAGACATATGCACATTCACACAAACACGAACATAGGGAGTTCTGAGGAAGAGGATTGAGTTGACAACTGTACCAAATTCACTCTACTACTTACTGTTAGATTGATTTTAGAATCGTACCTGAGAAACCACAAAAGCAGAGATTTGTCTCAAATTTAGCTGTACCAGATCAGCAAGAGACATTTGATTGTGTAACTTGTGCTTTTTGGTAGAGATCTTTAGTTCCTCGCTGTCTGGACTCAGGGAAGCATGGCATGGAATTCCCCCAATATCGAGTGGAGGTTGCCATGGTTAGGATATAGGAAGTCCTTCTTGCAGTTTCTGCGGTCACAAAACCTCTAAGAGTTTGCTTGAAAAGTTCTAAATGGCTCTACCATGTGCCAGTGTGGTGTCCAAGAGCAAGGTGAAAGAGGTTAGAAGGCAGCAGCAAGCATAATCAAGCTGATGCAAAAACCAAATAGCTTTGAGTTTCAGTAACTTTTAAGGGATCTGATTTGGTTCCATGTGCTAAGAATGGGCATTGCAGCATTCTAGAGAAAACCAGCAGTATTTAAGCAGGCAGAGATGGAAGGCAAGCCAAGTTCTAGACACAGTAGACCCCAAAGCACCATCTTCTTAAACCTGGTAACTTAGCATCTTGAGATGCAAGGTGTTAATCTTGTTAAACAGTTAGAAACTATTTCCCTCTGGTCTCTTTGTGTCACCAGTGAAGGTTCAGGATCATGTGTGTCCAGCTCTGTGTCTCTGAAGAGTAACTGGTCAAAAAATCATCCACCAACCCTCACGGGGAAAGAACCATCATCTGCCAAAAGGTATTTTGTGTTTTATATTATTGGTCAAATATGCGCTGCATTGAAAATGTGAAACAACAGTTCAGTAAAGAGAGCCATTCCTGGATGAATCAGTTGTTTGAATTAATCAATCAATGACTCTATAATGACTTTTGATTGGGGGGGGGGGGGGGGGGGGTGTTCTCAGCTAAATCTAATCCATAACACAGCACATGTCCTGAGTGTCTTCTTATCATGAGGAATGCAAAACATTTATTTTTTTCAAGTTTTCAAGATATATCTGTATTGTTTGCCTCAAAATGTATTGTTACAGTAGTTTTATTTGTTAACAGTGTTGAATATGAGTTACCAGAACCAAGACACAGGACTCACAGGAGGCACAAGAGTTTCACAGACAATCTCCTGTGGATCTTCCAGGTGGGGAAAAAACTCATTTTGATTCATATTTAATATTTATAATATAACAGACCAAATGATGAGTGAAAAAGATCCTGCTTTTGTAACACATTTTCATATCCCACTAAAATAAGGCTAAATTTGGGTTGTCAGCAAAATTCAAATAGATGTCTATCGATCGTCTAAAGGAAATACACAGATTACACAGACTTTACACGTGTCACCTACATCACATTCCTGTGTTTTTTGTATGACTGGACTAGTTTTTAACTTTTCTTAGACGTCTTTTAGATTTTCATGGAAAATTTACCTTTGTTTTAGCCGAGCCGTCTTTGTTATTAAATACTTATATACCCACAACATGCCAGTGGAAATGCACCATCAGGCTTCTTATTATCCCAACTCATCTCCCCTACCTTTGACCCACAGCCCCCTCCTCCAGCCCTGAATTCCGTCATTCCCCCTCCTTATTTTTTGCCTGCCTCTGCTAATAATGCCAGTACACCTCACTTTTACTTTCCCATGGCGAAATTCACCAGATCCCAGCCCACAACTCTGTCATTAGTGGCGCAAGCTGCAGTGCTCACCATGGGTTATATGCACAGGACTTTAATTTTCAGTAAGCTAACTCTAGCACTTTCGGTGAACTGTCATGCTATTGTTAATTGCCGCATTTAAGATTTAAGATTTTTACTGCCTGATTGAAATATGATATAAGTGGGTCTCAGGCCTGAAAAAGAAGCACTGCAATAAAGTCCATTTATTTACTCCATGTCATTAAGTGTGATTTATTTATGAACTAATTTCGAGAAGAGCATGTGCTTATGATTGCACACGGCTGGTCCAGCATTAGCTTATACAATATCCACTAATCAGTCTATTACTAACTCACCATGAATAACCAGAAATTCTTACCTCAATATCTTCATTTTAGAGAATCTCCCCTTCCACCCCTACTCCTACTTCTTTTCTAGACAGGGTAGCATGGCAGCCCAATGGTTAGCACTGTTGCCTCACAGCAAGAAGGCTTACCAGACCAGTCGACGTTTCTGTGCGGAGTTTACATGTTCTTGTGCATTTGTGGGTTTTCCCTGGGTTCCAGCCACAGTCCAAAGACATGAGCCATAGATGAATTGACCAAACCAAATTGGCACTATAGATGAGTCCATCGCATATTTCCACATCTATTCATAATTTGCCTTTCATAAGGGGAGGGATTGGGGGGTTCTTGAGATCTACCAGAGCTTAAACTTCCTTCTCACACTTCTATCGGGAGGGAGCCCCAGGCTCAAGGATCTTTTAAGTTCAGAGCTTTCGTCCAGGAGAGCATACCAAACAAGCTTTAATACCAATAATCAGCTAAAGGTGAACTCTCAAAATATGCACAATTTATTTTCCTATAGTACTTTCAGTGGAGATTCAGCACTCCATGTCAGTTGGTGTGAAACACTTCGCAACATACCTTGATCCTTCAGTAAGAGACACACAGTGTTAGTGTAACGGAGGCCAGCTAGTAAGTGCTGTTCAGGTAAACCTCACTCCTCTGACCTCTAAAGGTGCTCTAGCAGCAGACGCCAGAGCCCATGGACTTTAGCCTCCTTGATAGAGCAACCAACTTCCATGCGGAAGGTTGCCGGTTCGATTCCAGCTCGTAGTTGGTTGGGTGGCATAGGACTGGCGGGGTTACATTGGTGCCATGACCCGGATGGGAGTGAGTTTTAGGTGGTGAGTGTAACAGAGGCCAGTTAGTAAGTGCTGTGCAGGTATACCTCACACCTCTGACTTGTAAAGGTGCTCTAGCGATGAACGCTATAGGCTATGGTCTTTAGCCTCCTTGTTAGAGCAACCGACTCCCATGCGGAAGGTCCCCAGCTCGATCCCAGCTCGGAGCGGGTTGGGTGGTGTAGGACCGGCGGAGTTACTTTGGCATACTGTTTGTTATTGTTTTCCTTGAGTTGGTTTGATCCAAAGGGATGGGGCATGGAGTATAAAAGAGAGCTCAACCTCAAACTGCTCAAACTGTGCCTGCTTGTCTCACAGAGTAGGCTGTGGTTGTAGAAATGTGTGTGAATAAGCGTTTTTGGTTAAACGTAATTCATCTAATTTCTTCCATCATAGAATCTTGAGAATAAAATTGACAGATTTTTGAAGAATGAACTTGAGAAGTTTAAGAAGATCTTACAAGAAGAAAACAGACAAGACTTTGTAAAGAACTTTAATGACAACAGATGCAGAATCACAGAAGCAGCTCTTGATCTCACACTCTTCTTCCTGAGAGATATGAAGCAAGATGAAGTTGCTGATACTCTCCAGGGTAAGATACTCATGACCGTCAGTTTGTCACTTACAAATATAGCTGGAAAAGTCAAGACTAAACCTATCTCTTTCTTTGCTCCTGTGTTTAGGTGAGCTGTTCTTCATTAACCAGTTAAAATGTAGCATGAAGAAGAAATATCAAAGTGTGTTTGAAGGAAATGCTCAGCAAGGAGACTCCACACTTCTGAATACCATCTACACAGATCTCTATATCACTCAGGGTGCGAGTGAACAGGTCAACACTGAACATGAGATCAGACAGATTGAAGTTGCTTCTAGATGTCATCAGTCACTAGAGATGAAGATTGAATGTAAACATTTGTTTGAAGCAGCTGAACAAGACAAGCAGATCAGAACTGTCCTGACAAAAGGAGTTGCTGGCATCGGGAAATCAGTCTCTGTGCAAAAGTTTGTTCTGGATTGGGCTGAAGGGAAAGAAAATCAAGACATCAGCTTCATATTTCCTCTTCCATTCAGAGAGATGAACTTAAAGGAGAAAGAAAGACAAAGTTTAAAAGACCTCATAACTCAGTTTTTCCCAGAGACTAAAGGACTGAACCTTACAAGAAGCACACGATTCAAAGTCCTGTTCATCCTTGATGGATTGGACGAATTTCGTCTTCCCCTAAACTTTGTTGGTAATGAGACGTGTCGTGATGTATCTTCAGCAGTCTCTCTGGATGTTCTCCTGACGAACCTCATCAAGGGAAATCTGCTTCCTTCTGCTCTCATCTGGATCACCAGCAGACCAGCAGCTGCCAGTAAGATTCCTGCTGACTGTATCGACCGGCTGACAGAGATACAAGGATTCAATGATGCCCAAAAGGAGGAGTACTTTAGAAAGAGACTCACAGATCAGAATCAGGCCAGAGAAATCATTGATCACATTAAACAGTCAAAGAGTCTCTTTATTATGTGCCACATCCCAGTCTTCTGCTGGATTTCAGCCACTGTTCTCCAAAATGTATTGACGGAGAAAAGAAATATTGAACTGAAAAACAGAACCTGTGCCGAAACACTGCAGGAATCTCCCAAGAGTCTGACACAAATGTACATACACTTTCTGTGCTTTCAGATCCAGCAGAGCAGAAGAAAGTATGATGGAGAAAACACAGCAAATGCTTCCTGGGATCCAAACCTCATCCTTTCACTGGGGAAACTGGCCTTCCAGCAGCTGGAAAGAAACAATGTGATCTTCTATGAGAGCGATCTGAAAGACTGTGGCATTGACGTCTATAAGGCATCGGTGTACTCAGGCATGTGTACCCAGATCTTTAAGAAGGATAAAGGAATCATTCTTGGTACAGTGTACTGCTTTCTTCACTTGAGCATTCAGGAGTTCATTGCAGCGCTTTATGAGCATCTGTTTCTAGACAGCGACAAGAAAGTTTTATCTAGTTTTAGAAAGAGAAGAAAAAATAAAGGCATGATTGATTTGCTGAAGGCTGCAGTGGACAAGGCTCTGGAAAGTGACAATGGACATCTGGACCTCTTCCTTCGCTTCCTTCTCGGTCTGTCTCTCCAGTCCAATCGACAACTCTTGCAAGGCCTGTTGACACAGCAGGATGACAGTGACCAGAGCAAAGAGGAAATAATTGCCTACATCAAGCAGAAACTTGAAGGGAATCTGTCTCCAGAGAGATCCATCAATCTGTTCTACTGTCTGAATGAACTGAACGACCAAACTCTGCTAAAAGAGATTCAGTCCCACCTTAGAGAAGGAAGTCTGTCATCTGCTGACCTTTCACCTGCCCAGTGGTCTGCTGTGGCCTTTGTGTTGTTGACCTCAGAAGAGCAGTTGGAGGATTTTGAGCTTCAGAAATTTAAGAAATCAGACGAGTGTCTCATCAGACTATCAGCGGTCATCAAAACCTCCAAAAGAGCTCTGTAAGTCAAAGTCCTTTTTTCATCTAAGAAGTAATCTATTCTTCCTTCTAAGGAATAGTGTTAAAATCAGGAAATTTTGTACACCATCATTGCAACACCTATGTAGTTTTTTGTGACCGTGGACAAAAACAAACACTTCCATATATACATTTAAAGGAACAATGCATAAAACAAGGCTTGCATTTACTATTGCAATAAAAATTGTGCATATGCGGACCACCAGAACTGATGGCATTTCATGAACTGCAAACTGGTGAATTTCTTAATGCTCCACCGTTTACCTGTGTGCTCTTAGTTGTGTAGTCGTAAAGTATAGCATGTGAGAAGATAGTTGTTTTCTGCAGACAGGAGATCCCGAGGCACTCCCAGGCAAGCCGAGAGACATAATCCCTCCAGCCTTTCCTTGGTCTTAACTGGGGTCTCCTCTCAGTGGGACAAGCCTGGAACAACTCCCTAGGTAGGTAGGTGTCCAGGAGGAATTCGAATCAGATGCCTGAGCCAAAACAGCTCGCTTTTTTCAATTTGGAGGAGCAGCGCCCCCCTGCAAGTTCCTCCCGGGTCTCAGAGCTCCTCTATCAGTGCACCCTGTACTGGAAAGTCATTTCACTTGTGTCCAAGATCTTGTCCTTGTGACCTTAGATGAGAGTAGGAATGTAGAATAACTTAAATCGAGTGCTTTGCCTGTTGGCTCAGTTCTTTCTTTATCTATGTACAGTAGCTGGTGTTACTGATGAGGCAAAGCATTCTTGAACAGTGCAGTTTCTGAAATATAGTAAAAAAATGAATTTGAGAAATGCAGATCTGCTCAGCATCTGTTGTTATCCTCTCTCCTTGAGAATAATTCTATAACTGACTTGTTGATTTGTATGTTATATTGTTTCGTTTGGGCAAAAAATTGAGTAATTTTTTGTATAAGTGGAATGATCGCAGATATTCCACCTCTCCAGTAGCAGATTTTAGAAGCTCTTCAAAAGAAAACACAAAACAGGAGAGTTCAGGAGAGCGGTGGTGCAACAGTGGACAAGGATGAGGAGGCACGTTCAAGAAACCATGAAAAGGGTACAGGATTGATGGTCAGGGAGAAACTGACTGAACAGGTAACCAGGGAGGAACACAAAGCCAAGGTAGGGATTACTGGACAGTCAACCAAGGCAGAGCCTGTGGAACAGGATTAACAGCTGAGCACAAAGCTATAGTAGAGCTTGTAAAACACAAAGAACACCCAGGAGCAAAAGCCACCCATCTTCGTGGAGCCAAGGATCATCAGTGGTGACAGAAGCAGAGAAGATAACTCCCATAGTGCTGACGCTGATGACTACCATGGTGGAGGTAAAGTGGGTTCTCGAGTGAAGTTATAGAATGGAACAGGTTCAGGAGCAGAGCAGCCAACTTGAATGGGCTCTGGATTGGAATTGTGCCAAAACAAGTGGTGGGTCTGACAAACTAGAAACCAGTGTCAAACACCTGAGGATTGCCTGGGTGTCCTTATATGCTGTATTTACAATGCATGGGACCACCAGATTATCATCTGCAATAGCAGAGGACTGTGGCTTGAGGCGTAACAGCTGGTGGCTATGATGTGGCCACCATAACAGCAGGGGGCATGTCAGCCATGCTGTAAAATGAGTCTGGGCAGGCAGTCATCTTAGGAAGGTACTGAGGGTTAGCAGTCATGACAGCTGTTGAAGCCACAGGCACTAGACTTTGGGGACTGCTGTGCTTAGGATCGCTGAATCTGATGTACTAAGGAACACTAAAACGGGAAACACCCATTCACTCTCACATTCACATACACACGTACACTACAGCCAATACAGACTTTAGGAGAAAACCCAAACAAATATGGAAACTCCACACAGAAATGCCAACCGCTAACCTTTTAGCCATCGCACTTCATATATTAGGGGTGCAACATAACTCTGAAGGGTTGGACTATTTAAATATCTAAAGGAAGCCATTTAATTTTGTTTCATAGACAAATGCTTTTTCTTCTCTGTCCATAAAGTTATATATAAGTATAAAACCCTCCAGATGAACACATACATATTTTGTTTGTCCTCTACACAGGCTACAGTGCTGCAATCTCACGGTTCGGTCCTGTGAGAGTTTGTGTTCAGCTCTACAATCCTCAAACTGTGTGCTGAGAGAGCTGGACCTGAGTAACAATGACCTGCAGGATTCAGGAGTGAAGCTTCTCTCTGATGGACTGAAGAGTCAACACTGTAAACTGGAGATACTGAGGTCTGAGTTCGAGAATCTGATGGATTATTCTTAATCACTGAAAATCACATTTAACGTAACCTGTGTTCTTCTTTCTCAGATTGGTCATGTGCAAGTTGACTCCTCAGTCCTGTCAGAACTTGTCATCAGCTATACTATCCTCAAACTGTGTGCTGAGAGAGTTGGACCTGAGTAACAATGACCTGCAGGATTCAGGGGTGAAGTTTCTTTCTGGTGGACTGAAAAGTCCAAACTGTAAACTGGAGATTGTGAGGTCTGAGTACAAAGATATTAGATTGTTTTTCATTAAATTTTATATTAAAAGTCACTTTTAATTTAGTTTTTGTTCTTCTTGTTCAGGCTCTGCATGTGTAATCTCACCGCTCAGTCCTGTGAGAGTTTGTCTTCAGCTCTACAATCCTCAAACTGGTTCCTGAGAGAGCTGGACCTGAGTAACAATGACCTGCAGGATTCAGGAGTGAAGAAGCTCTCTGATGGACTGAAGAGTCCAATCTGTAAACTGGAGATACTGAGGTCTGAGTTCAAGCACCTGACTGATGTTTTTGATTGATCATTAGGGGTTTAACGCTAGAAATTACTTAGTTTGTGCTCAATTTGTTAGGATTTTTTAAATTGTTATTTTATTTCTGCCATGAGTTCACAAGGCACAGCCCATTTTGCAAAGTAAAAACAATGCTTTGTAGCTGTAGCTTGTACAAATTTCTGCACGAAACAGTACTCAGAAAACTACTAATGCCAACTTGAACCCAAAGCTATTTAGGCTATAACTCTTGAACACAATGAAGTAAGTTGACATTTAGATGTGGCAGTACAAAACTTGCATACGTTGGCCACTAGGTGGCAGTATAACCTGAAAGAGAATCATTGTAACCAAGCAACCATTAGTCTGGCATGCAGTGCCTTTGTCCAATGTGACATGAAAATCTACATTGGCATATCTACAAAAAAAAAGCATGGCTGCCACTAGCCAATTAACTTTTTACCACTCATTAAACAAGGTTAGCAATGACCATGGTCCTAGAGGTAAGAATTTTGAAAGAAATCATCAACTGGGGCAATTTTGAGTTTTTTTTAAGTGTGTGTAATTATTTGTGTAATACACAAAATGTTGCACATGCACCTAAAATAAATATTGTATGATAGGCCTGGTCATACTGGACACTTTGACATAAAAACCCTTGCTGTCACTCAACTTGTTCATTGAATATTCCTCAATATGTGAAAAACCTACTTTTGTCAACTAATCCTTGTTTATCTTGGTCAATCACAATGAAACAAGTGTTGTATGAATCTCTGGACTGCCTATATCTGAGGTGCTCAATCCTGTTCCTGATGATCTACCTTCCTGCAGAGTTCAGCTCCAACCCTGATCAAGCACAATCAAGTAGAATCTGAAGGAGCACTTGGTAATTAAAGATAGGTGCGTTTGATCAAGGTTGCAACTAAACTTTCTCCAGAAACCTGGTTGGGCACCCCTGGTCTATATCAATAATTATTGAAAATGGTTGAACTTTCCAATTTGGATACCTGTAATAGCCTCATTTACAAAAAGGCAGTGGCTGCGTCTGAAACCGCCAACTATTCAGTAGGAAATGCATTTGAATGTAAACGTACTATTCGGCTGTTAGAAAAGTGCATTCTATACAGTATGAATGTGAGAAGTATGAATGGAATTCGGAATACGTACTACATCCGCCTTTTTGTCATCATCACGTGACCTACCTGAGTCAGTTGCGTCACTTCACTCTCATGCATGAATTCTTTCGCGAGGCATCATGGGATAGTGCAGCGTGCATGAGATGCGCACTTCAGAATCTCGCTGGAAGTAGTACGCCACATGGGTACTTCTCGCATGCTGATTTCGAATTCTATGAATCCAGAAATCCTACTCGGCTCATATACTGATGTTAGCATTCTATACAGTATGGAAGTACGCAGTTTCGGATGCAGCCTGTATCTATTTGAACCTACATACCTGTAAACGCATAAGAAAAACACATGGTGTACACATGACATATGATTGCATGCAGTTGCAAAGTAGTCCTTGGTTTCAACAACACTAGTAAACGAAACAAGTCTTGTACCAATTCCTAGATTGCCTAGATCAATAATGTTGACACCATTGTCATCTCTAGCCAAGAGATGGCACAAGACCACATATTGGTTACTACTAGACCTTGTGGGTTTTTCTGTTTCATTAATTAACATGTGTTCTTCTTTCTCAGACTGTGCATCTGTAAACTTACGGTTCGGTCTTGTGAGAGTTTGTCTTCAGTTCTACAATCTTCAAACTGTGTCCTTAGAGAGCTGGACCTGAGTAACAATGACCTGCAGGATTCAGGAGTAAGGCTTCTTTCTGATGGACTGAAGAGTCCAAACTGTAAACTGGAGACACTGAGGTCTGCATTCAAAATACTTAAATTGATTTTCCTTAAGTTAAATGTTTAAGGTCACGCTGTTTTTATTTTTTTATTTTTTATTTTTTCTTCCTCAGAGTTTCCACATGCCATCTTTCTGTTCAGTCTTGTAAGAGTTTGTCTTCAGTTCTACAGTCATCAAATGGTGTGCTGAGAGAGCTGGACCTGAGTAACAATGACCTGCAGGATTCAGGAGTGAAGCTTCTCTCTGATGGACTAAAGAGTCCAAACTGTAAACTGGAGACACTGAGGTCTGAGTTCAAACACTTAATTATTGATTTTTAACATCAGACGAATTACTATGAATTAGACCATTAATGTATTTTATTTTCCTCTTGTTCAGGCTGTGCATGAGTAATCTCACTGCTCAGTCTTGTGAGAGTTTGTCTTCAGCTCTGCAGTCCTCAAACTGTGTCCTGAGAGAGCTGGACCTAAATGACAATGACCTGCAGGATTCAGGAGTGAAGAAGCTCTCTGATGGACTGAAGAGTCCAAACTGTAAACTGAAGACACTGAGGTAAACCATTTTCCACTTAACAACAACAATAACATAGTTACATTTAGGGCTGTGCTGTAATCAAGATAACATTATTCATTAAGGTTGTTCTTTTTGTAATATACCCTAGTATGACTAACAGTTCGTTGTGGAATCATTGTATTTTAAATATCCATCCATCTTCAAATGCACATGCGGGGCCAGGTCGCGAGGCAGCAGTTTCAGAAGAGAATCCTAGACATTCATCTTGCCAGATACTTCAACCAGCTCTACCAGGGGGTCCCAAGGTGTTTCCAGGCAAGCAGAGACATAGTCCCTCCAGCATGTCTTGGGTCTTCTTTTAAGTCACAACCATTAACTCAACTGGCTTCTCTCATTATGAGGGAGCAGGGGTGACCGAGCTCCCTGTCTCTACATGCACCCTGCCATCCAGCAAAGGAAATGCTAATTTCAGCCACTTGTATCCATGATCTTGTCCTAAGGAACATAGATTGACTGGTAAATTGATCACTTTGCTTTTGGCTCAGCTTCTCCTTCATCACAACAGACTGGTACAATGCTACTGCTGCCACACATCTGTCAATTTTAAGGTCCATCCTTCCCTTTCGCATGAACAAAATCCCCAGATGTTTGAACTCCTCCTGGAGATGGCAAACCATCTTTTTCCGGTTAAGCACCATGGCCTAAGACTTGGAGGTGCTGATTCCTATTACACACCGAAGGCAAACAGGATAACATCATCTGCATTGACTTGAAAGGGCAGCCCTGTTAAAGTCCAACATGCAACAGGAACAAATCTGACTTACTGCCAGCAATGCAAACCAAACTCTGCTTCTTTCATACAGAGACCAGATAGCTCTTAAGAGTGTCAAGAGCAAGATGGTCAAATCCCTTTTCCAATTTCCCAAAGCACTGGACAAGAACGAACCTTCCAGCAACCTAGAGAGGGTCTAGGGCTGGTACTGTGTTTCATGGCCCAGACAAACGGCTGGATTCTTTGTTCCTGTACCCTGGCATAGACATTTCTGGGGGGCTGAGAAGTATGAACCCCTGTAGTTGGAACACACCCTCCTGTTCTTCTTAAAGGTGGGGAGCCTCACCCCATTTGCCCAGCCCAGGGACACTGTCCCTGACCCCCATGCAGTGTTGTAGAGGTGTCTTTGCTTCCTCAGAGGAAGGCATATCATTGGAATTGAGGAGATTCCCAAAGTCGTCCTTCCATAATCCAACAACATCCTTACTTGTGGTAAACCACTCTTTACTTCTACTAAAAATAGCATTGGTGAAGCATTGTTTCCCATTCCAGAGGTGCCTGATGGATTGCCAGAATTAAGGCCCTGATATACTTCAAACAAAATCAGAGAATGAACTGATATTATGGGATTTCGAAGAAAATCCAGCAAAAATATATGTTATTTTAAGTTGATTTCAACAGTTCGAAACAGCTCATCAAAGCAAACATTTTGGAAGTTAGTTTTGGCTTCCGAACACCTTTGAGCTAACATTAGTGTGTGGCAATGCAGCAAGTGGGTGTGTTCTAAAACTCTACCTTTTTTGACATGCAATTGAACTTGCCTTGGCTTGCAATTTCTTCACCAATTTGTTTCTCATTCCACAGGGGTCAGTAAAAACAACATTAGTCAAATGAAGACACTGGGAGTAGAGTATCAGAGTTGGTACAGATATATCTGCACCTGTACAATCACTCGCAGAAAGAGTTTTGAGAACTGGATGGGAAAATACTGGACAAGAAGTCCACTTTGTCTCACCACATCTTTTCTATGACTTTGCGCACACCAGTGGCTCGACTGCAGTCTGTCTGCTGCAAATATTTTACACTAATAATTATTTCTTCCCTATTTCCACCTGGGGATACTCATGTCAGGGCCTCTAGAGGTTCTGACCTGTGAAGAGATGATGCCAACCATAGAGTGCTTTTAGAGGTATCTATAATCCTGGACCAGGTCATATCCTGAGCAGATGCTGTGGCCATAATAGAGGAGTGGAGAGCATGAGACCGATCCCATGGGCCAGCCTGAACAGCCGCTGGTTACTTCTCCCACCTGCAGCTTCTCCACGATGGACGCCCAACATTCTCCTGCCTCCAGCACCTAGACTGCAGCTCTGCACAAGAAGTTTGGCCAGAGAAAAAGTGGTCGTGTCTAACTGAGCCTGGTTTCTCTCTAGGTTTTTATTTCCTTTACTTTCGTCAATTGGTGAAGGTTTGTTCTTTGCCACTGTTCATTGCTTAGTTTGGAACTTGTGGAGCTACGCATGCATGGATTGCTCTTCAGTGTTTGGACTTTCAGCAGTGAAAATTAAATTACACTGAACTGAACTAAACTGAACTTCAACTCTGAAAAGTAGACGGACACAGTTTAGATGGACTAGATCTTCTATGTTAAGCTGTGTTGACACAATCTACATGGTAACAATACTATATAAATAAAGATTAATTGAATTGAAATAGAAAACAAGATGTGACACACCCACAGTGGTGCTTTTTATGTGATGTATTATCAACAATATCTTTGTTTTTAGACCTTGTTGAGTATTTTAGTGAGTTTGCTGACCTCAGCGGTTGATCGATTGGGAAAAGTAATCAGCATATGTGTTTTCATCACTGGTGTTCGAATGAACCGAAACACCAGCATTTTCATGTGTGATTGTCCAACAGTGTGATGTGGACTGTTTGTGTGTTTGTAGATTGTCTGGCTGTATGGTGACAGAGGAAGGCTGTGGTTTGCTGTCTTCAGCTCTGACTTCAAACCCCTCACACCTGAGAGAGCTGGATCTGAGCTACAATCATCCAGGAGATTCAGGAGTCAAGCTGCTCTCTGAACAACTGGAGGATCCAAACTACACACTGGACACACTCAAGTATGTAGAGCATCACTGCCCTTTTACACTTAATGGCTTTAAAAACAAATGTAAAAAACTTTATTGAAATTCCGTTTTCTGTGAGAATTGTGGGGTTTGGGCATTCATAATATATAGACTTAAAAGACATCTAGGGACTAAAGACACAATGTGATGAAGTGTTTGTTTTGTCCCCTTCTTCCCGCAAACAAATCTTAATGTGGGCAACAGTCCTTTTTAGCAATAATAGTGCCATCACAGAAGTGCAAGTATTTTTGCCAAAAGCACTGACACAACCTCATACCATGACAAACCCTGGCTTCTGGACTTGTTGCTGGTAACAGTCTGAATGATCCTTTTCTTCTTTGGTCTGGAGCACACAGTGTCCATTTCTCCTAAACAATACCAGAAATACTCATTCATCTGACCACAGTACACTTTCCACAGTTTGATGGTCCATCCCAGATGCCTCCAAGAAGTTGATAGTGCTTCTGGACACTGTTAACATAGGGCTTCCTTTTGGCACAGTACAGTTTTAACTGGCATCTGTGGATGTAACTACGCATTGTGGTACTTGACTAAGGTTTGCCGTAGTAGTCCTAAACTCATGTGTTGATCTGGCTTATAGATGAATGAGGATTCTTGATGCAGCGCCGCCTGACGAGTCGGAGATCACTGTTGTTCAGCTTAGGCTTGCGTCCTTATCCTTTACACACTGAAATTCCTTCAGATTCCTTGAATCTTTTAATGATGTTCTGCACTGTTGAAGGTGAAATATCCAAATGTCTTCCTCTCCTTGCTTGAGGAACATTGTGTTAAACATTTCAATAATTTGCTAATTTTTGTTGGAAAATTTGCGACTTTCGTCCCATCTTTGCTCCTGAAGGACTAGACCTTTCTTGGATGCTGCTTTTGGACCAAATCATAATTACAATCCCCTGTTGACATCACCTCACATCATTATTTAACCAATTTACCTGATTACTAGCCCTAAACTGCTCCTGTCACAACTTTTTTTGGAATGTGTTGCAAACACAGACAGAAAGAATCTATATTTACAAATGAAATGAAGTTGACCAGACAAAACATGAAATATTTTGTGTTCATGTTGTCTGCAAAGAAATACAAGTTTTCTTTTTTTATTTGCGTTTTTCATACTGCCCCAACTTTTTCTGACTTGGGGTTGCAAAAGCACACTCACTGCAGAATTAAATGTGCACCTTAACTATCCTGTTCCCACCAAAAATGTTGGTCTGGAGCTCCACAGGTTGCCGGGCAGCTATAGCCAAACTTTTGGTCACTCATGCCAATTCCAAACTCAGTTTCCATGGTGCAGCAGCAAAAATCTTGGACTGTGGACATCGTGAAAAATTAATGTTGAGTCCACCTCTACTGTCTTTCCCACATCTGGGAGAGTTACAGTGTGGAGAAGCCCCAAAGAAGTGTCCCACCCAGACTTTTGCTTGCCCAGAGTGAAGCATGTGGCTGGATCAGTGATGGTTTGGCCTGCAATATCATGACATTCCCTAGGCCCAATACTAGGCCATGGACTACCAAGCTATTCTGGAGGACCATGTGCACCCAATGGGTCAAGCATTTTATCCTTAAGGCAGTGCCATGTATCAGGTTGATAATGCACAAATACATATGACAAGAACGATGACAGAGTGGTTTGAATTATGAGTGAAATCAATTATTGTGGTCTGAAACCGATGGTTCAGTTTCATTGTCCAACCCCTGTATGTATATTATTATCCACTATTTTTAATGCCAAAACTTTAGAGCCATTTGATATTTAACCCTTGGGGTATGCTTTAAATAAAGTGTTTAGTGTTTGTTTACTGACTGAATGTAAATCTGTGTGTGTTTACAGCGTGGATCATGGAGGAGAAAATAGGATAACAGCAGGACTGCACAAATGTATGTCTACACACACACACACACATACACACACACATTGGTATTGGTGATTTATGAGGTCTCTCTATGGGCATTTTTACAGTTAAAGACCTCGTATTACATGGTCTTTCCCCACCCCTACCCTAAACAAAACAAGAATGATATTTAAGCATTTTGAATTACAAGGACTTAAAGCATGTCCTCATAAACCACCTCAATGTTCTAATACCTTTTTTATACCTGTTGTGTTATAAATCTGTCTCTTCTTGTGTTACTAGATGCCTGTTTTCTGACACTGGATCCAAACACAGCAAACACTCGTCTCATTCTGTCTGAGGAGAACAGAGAGGTGAAGCGTGTGTTAGAGAAACAGCCGTATCCTGATCATCCAGACCGATTTAATTGTCCTCAGGTGTTGTGCAGAGAGAGTGTGTGTGGACGCTGTTACTGGGAGATTGACTGGAGTGGAGATGATTATGTGTTTATATCAGTGTCATATAAGAGCATCAGGAGGAAGGGACGGGGTGATGAGTGTGTGTTTGGACAAAATGATCATTCCTGGAGTTTGATCTGCTGTCCTGACAGTTACGCAATCATGCACAATAACAGGTGTATCGAACTCCCCGAAGAGCTGATCAGCAGTAGAATAGGAGTGTTTGTGGATCACAGTGCAGGAACTCTGATCTTCTACAACATCTATAGAGACACAATGAGCCTCATCCACTCAGTCCAGACCACATTCACTGAGCCGCTCTATCCTGGGTTTAGGGTTGATTATCCTGGATCATCGGTGAAACTGTGCTGAAGACTGGGCTTAATCCTCCTGCTGAATGTGTCAGAAATCCTCATCTACACTCACTTTATTAGATACACCTGTCCAACAGCCAATCACATGGCAGCAACTCAATGCATTTCGGGATGAAGATAGACATGGTCAAGATGATCTACTGCAGTTCAAAGCGAGCATCAGAATGGGGAAGAAAGGGGATTTAAGTGACTTTGAACGTGGTTGTTGCTGCCAGATGGGCTGTTATGAGTATTTCAGAAATTGCTGATACACTGGGATTTTCTCTAGGGTTTACAGAGAATGCCTTGTTGATGCGAGAGGTCAGAGGAGAATGGCCAGACTGGTTCCAGCTGATAGAAAGGCAACAGTTACTCAAAAAAGCACTTGTTACAACCGAGCTCTGCAGAAGAGCATCTCTGAACAAGGCCAACCTTGAGGCGGATGGGCTACAGCAGCAGAAGAGCACACCGGGTGCCGCTCCTGTCAGCTAAGAACAGGAAACTGAGGCTACAATTCACACAGGCTCACCAAAACTGGACAATAGAAGATTGGAGAAATGTTGCCTGCTCTGATGAGTCTCCATTTCTGCTGACACATTCGGATGCTCGACTCAACAACATGAAAGCATGGATCATCCTGCCTTGTATCAGCGGTTCAGGCTGGTGGTGGTGGTGTAATGGTGTGGGGGAGATTTTCTTTGGGTCCATTAGTACCAATTGAGCATCAACGCCACAGCCTACCTGAGTATTGCTGCTGACCATGTCCATCCCTTTATGAGCACAGTGTCTCCATCTTCTGATGGCTACTTCCAGCAGGATAACGCAGCATGTCATAAAGCCTGAATCATCTCAGACTGGTTTCTTGAACATGACGATGAGTTCACTGTACTCAAATGGCCTCCACAGTCACCAGAGCTCAATCCAATAGAGCAGCTTTGGGATGTGGTGGAACGGGAGATTGGCATCATGGATGTGCAGCCGACAAATCTGCAGCAGCTGTGTGATGCTCTCATGTCAACACGGAGCAAAATCTCTGAGGAATATTTCCAGTAGCTTGTTGAGTCTCTGCCATGAAGGATTAAGGCAGTTCTGAAGGCAAAAGGGGTCCAACCCAGTACTAGAAAGGTGTACCTAATAAAGTGTAGACCGTAAGATCAGTGTATGTGTGCTGATCTGTGTTTTTTCACAGTCTTTTTAAACTGGACATTTTTTTATTGGATTGTCCCATCAATTATTTTTATAATTACTGAAAATTACCTTCAGAAAGTACCTTTCACGTACAAGATTTATTGTGTATATATTTGTATATGCTTGATTTTTTTCTCCATTGTTTGTAGACAAATAATAAATGTAATACTAATTCGAAATAAAAAATGTGCTTGATGATAAACATTTAGTGTCTAAATACTATATGATACACTGTGAGCAGGAAAGCAAGTCTTTCTTATGTTTTGACAGCCACATCAGCATAACACAATGAAGAGCCAGGCGGAGGTTTCATGTAGCACCAGTCAGGGGTGTTAAAGTAGTCCTTAAGGGCGTACTCACACTATGCTATCCGAACCGTGCCCAGGCCCGTTTCGTGGATCTTTTGAGAATTGGGCTCAAGCGTGGTTTACTTGGCCGGCCCTGGCCTGGTTGTTAGAGCTGTACCAGAGCGTGGTTCACTTGGGCAAGGTACGCTTGTAGAGTGAGTGCAAAGCACGCCTGAGCCTAAACCTGAAGACGAGACGCAACTTTTAAGGATCTGTTTAATAGGATTTATTAATAATTCTTACCGTTCGATTAATGCAAACTGTCGTGGTTTATTAAAGACGCAAACCCCTCACTGCTCGACAGCTGCACCTTCAGCAAACCTCCTAATACCTGCAGCACCAGGACTTTATACAAGCGTGCTTCGGCCCAGTTTTAGGCAACTGTACTTAGTGTGAGTATGCCTTAAATGTCTCTGAAGACCCCTGGCCACAACTGGGTCTGCTTCTGAACTGCTTTGGGGACTCGGACAAGTGGTTTGTATGCAACCATTAGCATATCACCCACTGAAGCACCCACAAGATCGGCAAGGACCTTGTAAGCTCCTCTCAGAGTATCGTAAACAAGGTCCAATGTGTTGTTTACTTGTGTTGGAAAGTTAATGTCTTGGTGTATTTTAGGAAACACTCTTTAGGTCTGCATGATTGCAATCCTCAGCCAGGTATTGGAAAACCATCTGGGTGGGACGTCTACTACTCACTGAAGTGCTGTTCACCCCTATTGTTGTTATTAGTGTAAATGGCTGTATATTCTCTTGGTAGATAGAAGGACCGTCACTTAAACTGTAAACATAAAGTCTGCCGCAGTGAGTCTTACCTAGCTCTGATATCCTCTTCTGCTTCCATGTCCATGGTCGGCGAGATGCAGAATTGGTGGTCCATCATAGGGTAGGCCTCCGAGGTCCGGCAACTCTTCGGCGTGCACACTTAGTCACACACACTCATACACTACGGGCAGTTTAGTTAATCAATTCCCCTATAGAGCATGTGTTTGGACTGTGGGGGTAACCGGAGCACCCGGACGAAACCCACGCCGACACGAGGAGAACATGCAAACTCCACAGAGAACTAACCCAACCAGGACTCGAATCAGTGACCTAAAGTCCAAAAATATGGACTTTAAAATATGGACATTTCTTTATTTATTAAACAGAGTTTCTGCGCTCATCTGCTGCTTTAAACAACCTTTCATCTCGTTTTAAACTTGAACTACTAATATAATGCTGAAGTCTCTTTGACTGACTATATTTTAATTCCATTAAAATGTCATTTGATTGTAAAAGGAGCCCTAAGAAATTGAAAATAGTCACATCAACCTTACACAGGAAGTCTATCGGTGGCTGAATACTATTTATGATGAAGCCACTTTCTACTGACTCCAATAGTGACATTTTCAGAAGGGTATAATCGATGACCCGATGGGGACATTCTGGGGACATTCAGATACTAAAGAATTGTGCAAAACAGGAGCCATTTTAAAAGCAGATGGTATACTTTATATATATATATATATATATATAAATATATATATATATATTTTTTTTTTTTTTTTTTTTTCAAGAGATGTTACAGTGTCATCAGCAAAGCCCAGGGGGATTTCTGGAAAGACTCTGGATTTATTTAAATATTGCCATGATTTTACAGGATTGATTCAATACCTGCAGAATGCAAATGCATGATTTGTAGTAGTGAATGGTGGTGTATTTTGTTTATGCTTGTGGTATATTTTGTAATTTAGTGTTCTTGAGTATTTGTTGGGATGTAAATGAGCAGATGTTATTAATGTGATGATGCTGGACGCTGATTCTACAGAAATAACAGCTCACATTAATAACACTAGTTGACACTGAAACTAATCTCTTCATCAACCTTTTAAGATAAATATTTATTGATAGAATGAAATGTCCCTGTTTTGATGTGAAATTGTATTTTTATTGGCATGTCCATTACTACAGACACTGACAGAATAAAATTGCAGATTTAAACAGTCAATAATTATTTATTATTATTTAAGACTGAATCCCAAAGTATTTTTTAGACTGAAAAATACAACTGACAGCGTATATTTTAACATGTATTTCAACAATGATCAAACTCCTATAATTCCAGCGGACATAAACAAATTTAGTCATTTTAAACGGGACTTTTATTTTGGTGTGTTGTTGTGGCGTCATGATGTCGCGTCACTACCTATTTATTTAATAAATAAATTTTTATTTATTTATTTTAAATTTTTCATATTTTGAATTTATTAATTTATTTTAAATTCCTTTATTAAAATTGTATTTATTTATATATATTTCATTTATTTCATTTTTTTTTTATTTACATTTTATTCATTTGTTTTCATTTATTTTAATGTATTTACATTTTATTAATTTATTTAAATGTATTAAAATTTATATTCATTTATTTTCAATTTTATTAAATTATTTATTGTAATTTAATTTATTTATTTAAAGTTAATTAATTATTTATTTACAATTTATTTATTTTATTTATTTATTTTAATTTTATTTATTTCAAATCTTTTTCATATTTTAAATTTCTTAATTTATTTGAAATTAATTTATTAAAATTTCATTTATTTATATATTTTCATTTATATTTAATTTGTTTATTTATTGTAACTTTATTCATTGGTTTTCATTTATTTTAATGTATTTACATTTTATGTTTTTTTTAATTTATTAAAATTTACATACATTTATTGAAATTTTATTTCTTTATTTATTGTAGTTTAATTTATTTATTTAAAGTTAATTAATTAATTTTTATGTATAATTTATTTTAAATTCCTTTATTAAAATTTTATTTATTTATATATTTTCATTTATTTTTTATTTGTTTATTTATTTACATTTTATTCATTTGTTTTCATTTATTTTAATGTATTTACATTTTATTAATTTATTTAAATGTATTAATTTATATTCATTTATTTTCAATTTTATTAAATTGTTTATTGTAATTCAATTTATTTATTTAAAGTTAATTAATTATTTATTTACAATTTATTTATTTTATTTATTTAATTATTTAATTTAATAAAATTTCATTTATTTATATATTTTCATTTATTTTTAATTTGTTTATTTATTGTAACTTTATTCATTGGTTTTCATTTATTTTAATGTATTTACATTATATGTTTTTTTTAATTTATTAAAATTTACATACATTTATTGAAATTTTATTTATTTATTTATTGTAATTTAATTTATTTATTTAAAGTTAATTAATTAATTTTTATGTATTTTACAAAATGTCCAAAACTTGCTGGTTTTTACAGTTTTTCACTGCAGGAAAATGTTTAAGCATGACTAGTCTTTACTGCAGTCTATACAGACACTGAACATCACGGAGAACTTTGATGGAAATCACTAACTGAAATAGCACTGTATTAGATATACTGTATATTATATCAAGAATTCATCTGGTGAATACCGCCTAGATTGGTATAAAAGACGGGACTTTTATTTTGTTTCATGACGTCATCTATCAGCGACACGCTTTGGATTCAGCCGATGAAGGTTTGTTTTTAAAGTGTTTTAATCGACATAAAATGTCCAGACAACGTTAAAAGTTATTTATTTCATCACTATGGCGTTTAAAGTGCTTTGTTCTAGCGTTAATTATCAGCATTCTGTGTGAATGAGTCACATTTTTAGACACCAGTCACAGGAAAATTGCGTCTCGGTTGAGAAAGGTTGGTTTATATTCGCACATTCCTTCAATGGCAACTTATGACACGCTTCATATGTTACTTTAAATATTACATGGAAGAATGACTTGAAAACAACATTAGCACTGTTTGTGTGACTGTGAATAGTGCGCTTTGATAATCATTGGCTGCTAATATGATTTCACTGTTTATCATTAGCAAGGAATGCTATTCTGAAAGGATATTAGCAGGGAGCAAGTCTGAATGTGCAAATATAAAACTTACTGTACCTCAACACATCTCCTTTTTCTCCTGGATCGAAATTCAGTTTAAATACAATCATTTTCAGTCTCTGAAGGTATATATGAGAGAATCTGAGCATTTAGAAACTATGAGCCTACTGCTTTCTTGAATTATTGTGCTTAAAATCAAATTACTGTTTGATAATGAATCACCAAAACCGTAAACTAAAAATGAAAGAATTACTAGACATTATAGAGCCCAAGCAAAACCTTTTAAAGTGTTGTTATTTAAAAATCTGTAGAGATGTAAGACAGGTAAAACACGCATGCCTAAACACCACACCTGTATACTTATCTGTCTTGATGAAGAATCAGCCTCATGTCTGAAGAATTAATCAACTTTTATTATGTATTTTATTATAAAGATGGCCTTTATTAAAGAGGAGAGTGAAGACCTGAAGATTGAAGAAACATTCAGAGTCAAACATGAAGATGCTGAGCTGCATACAGGTTGGTGTTCATTCTCTAAGATCTACTACCGGGCTATTCCTTTAGTTAATCATGGGGGCCAGTTCATAAAGAGCATCCCTAATGAGGCGCCGGAGAGATATGACTTGCAACATGATTGACGACACAACAGCAAAATAAGAGTCCTTATGCTGTATTTTTGCTCCTTAACACATCCACATTGGCTTTTTCTGCATTAAAACATTAATATGTTGTACTTTAAAACTACATAATATCACAGTGGTTCATGATGATATTAGAACCAAAACTAATTAGTTTGCCTGTTGGTGTGGCCAATAATCACATCAAAAACTGATATTTATTGATTAAATATTTAAAAACAAATTCAAATTCAAAAACAAACCTTATTTATATTAACGTTTATGAAGACAATAGTAAGGTTAGGGGTCTGAAAGTTGGAAAGAAATGAAGACTGCACCAACATTTAAAGAGTTTTTGTATAAAAGTAAAGTCTTTGATGATTTAATTAAAGTCAATAAATAATAATTGTGTTCTTAATAATTGTCTCCCCATTAAGAAGAACTAGATTGAGAGTAAAAAATAATGTTCAGCGTCATTAGGTAATTTTCAGAAGCTGCTTATAATGTTTGTGAAATAATATATATTTTTAAATGATTAAATAATTATTCAGAGGAGGTTAAATAGTTCATTTAAGTAAGGGATAAAGTACATCCAGGTGGTTGTTATAGCACAAATAAAGCCTGACAGGCTTATCGTCTGCAGTTGGAGTAAGACTGAAGGGTTATAAACATGGTTATAAACTAATGTCTATCTAGTTTTAGTCTGGTTTCCATCCTTAAGAAAATGTTGTTAATGAATAATATTATAATAATCATTCGTCAACAACATTTTTTCTTGGAGGGAACCTGACTAAAACTAAGTAAAAATTAGTTTTAAATAATGCTGAAATGTTCTGATTTTTTTTGTAAATTAATACAGACATAAAAAAAATGTTTATTGAAGGAAACTTTGTTTAAATATTAAACTAAACTGAAAACTAAACTCACTGTCCAAAATGTCAGTATGTGGGAGAAGAAAATCTAAGTGCAGGTATAAATAAATACCGAAGCACACTTGAAATGCATTTCTGAGATGGCGCCAAAGACTTGCATTTAGCAGAGACGTTGTTTATCAAAATGACGTCAAACTGAAGGTGATCTTCACCCACACAGCCTATTAGATTATTAGTAATATGCTCGTGGAATTAATTAACTCGACTGCACTCAATACACTTCTAAATTAAAAGCATATGTCTTCTACAGTAAACTTGCCACAACACATTTTTACTTTCACTTTCGGTTTTCAAAATGATGTCAAACTGAAGGTGATCTTCACCCACACAGCCTATTAGATTATTAGTAATATGCTTGTGGAATTAATTAACTCGACAGCACTCAATACACTCCTAAATTAAAAGCATATGTCATCTACAGTAAACTTGCCACAACACATTTTTACTTTCACTTTCGATTTGGAAGTTCTGGTGTAAGAATCTTCCTGCTTTGACATCCCTACTTCACAAGCTATTAAAGCTATTAAAATACCCAAAAGCCTTGACAAACGCCAGTAATGTTTAAAAATGAAGGTTATGTGGCAGGTTCATTATAAAGAATTCATTATTTAAGGTGTTTTGAGTCTAATGTTACAGCACAGCTTTTAAATCAGGCTCTGTATCGTTTATATTGTAATATCCTTCATGTTTATAAGTATTTTAGAAGTGTTCTCCAGGAGTATATAATAAGCGTAGGAATTTTAAGAAATGCGCATAAATAACCTATTATGATTTAACTGGCCATATTTCTGGAGGGTAGATTTAGTCGCACATAAGACTCAAAATGAATCAGAATTTCCTGTCGAAATAAACAATGACCAACTTTAGTTCCATTAACTTTATTAAAAATAAATAAATAATGTAATGTATTGTTCAATGTTTGTATTGTGAATACATGAACATTTTCCTTAAACCATTTTTTTTTACAATATATTATGTGGTACCTGGAAACATATCTGTAACTCATTTGGCTTTAGGACTTCAGTTCCAGTTCAGAAAAATACACAAATACAAGTTAAAAATTCTGCCAAATGTACTTTAAATGTCTACAACAAATATTTTTGTAACATGGGAGATACAGGCAACGGAGTTGCGGATCCAAAATGCAGCGTCTTTTAGAGTAGTCAGGCAGGTAATGGTCACAAGCAGGAGCAAATGGTAACATAAAGGGCAATCCAAAAGAGTAGTCAATAAACAATAAAAACAATAAACAAAGCGAGGGTCATGAAACATGGCAAGGAAAAACAAGACAAGGAATCGAAGGAAATCAGGAACCGGTGTGTGTGGTGCATGATAGTATTTGTAGTCCACTTCAGTGACAGATGTTTAGTTCTTCAGTGATCTGCACCACTAGATCATTGGTGATCGTGACAATTAAAAAAAATCCATATTTACTCAAAATTATTGAGGCATCATCCTATTGTACTTCTCTTGATACATCAGTCCATCCATTATCTACTGCTTATTTGGGTCTGGGTAACAGGGTCAGCAGTCTTACAACTCTTCTTACACTTACTCCAGCTTCCTCAGGGAATCACACAGCGTTCCCAAGCAGGCAAACATCACAGACATCATCCCTTAAGCATGTACTGTATCTTCCCCCTAACCTCCTCCCAGGTGACGGAGCTCCCCACCTTTTTTTAAGGGTGCACCCTGTGAAGGAAAGCTCTTTACTTTCGTCTGTGACAACCCTCCCAAATTTCTTCCATGGATCCCCCACACCCCTTCTTCACTTTCGTCCGTGACACCTCTCCCTCCTTGTGTAACATTCCGGGTCCAGAAATTAAACACTGGAACCAAGTAAACCTGGTTTTGGGGTCTTAAGGAAGGCAACAAGTACAATCATTGATAATACCTCAGATTACTGGAAAGCACTCTTTTAGTGATTCTGTTCTTAAGATCTAGCATGCTTGTATGTTTTGAAATGCATTCATGTTGGTGTTTTGTGCCTTCTAAACTAGGCTAAACTTGTGTTTCTCTTTATTTGCTTTAGATGCGTTGGTGCTGAAAGAGGAGAGCGATGAAATGAAAGAGAAAGATCAATGTGAGCAACACCAGGGTATCGTGACTGTTGAAAAATCTTCAGAGCAGAAAAAGACTCAGAAAACCAAATCTACCTGTTGTGATTGTGGAAAGAGTTTCAGCCAAAAACACAACCTGAAAATCCACAGAAGGACTCACACTGGAGAGAAGCCTTTCACCTGTCAACACTGTGGAAAGAGTTTTGCTCAAAAACAAAACCTTAAGGTCCACATGAGAGTTCACACTAGAGAGACACCCTACACCTGCCAAGATTGTGGAAGGAGTTTCAATCAAAAAACAAACCTGGAAATCCACAGAATAATTCACACTGGAGAGAAGCCTTTTACCTGTCAACAGTGTGGAAAGAGTTTCAGTCAAAAACAAACCCTTAAGGTACACATGAGAATCCACACAGGAGAGAAACCTTTCTCCTGCCATCACTGTGGAAAGACTTTCACTGATAAACAAAATCTTATGGTCCACATGAGAATCCACACTGGAGACAAGCCTTATATCTGTACAGTATGTGGAAAGAATTTCAGTCAAAAACCAAGCCTTGATGTCCATGTGGGAATTCATACTGGAGAGAAGCCCTACCAATGCCAACAATGTGGGAAGAGTTTCAATCGTAAACAAAACCTTCAGGTCCATATGAGTATCCATAGTGGAGACAAGCCTTACCAATGCCAACAGTGTGGGAAGAGTTTCAACCGTAAACAAAACCTGCAGGTCCACATGAGAATCCACACTGGAGAGAAGCCTTTCTCCTGCCATCAGTGCGGAAAGAGTTTCAGTCATGAACACAACCTTAAGGTTCACATGAGAATCCACACTGGAGACAAGCCTTAGCCAGCATCTGCGCCTGTGTGGCCCTTGGGAAGAGAGTGTGCTTTGATTGGTTGTTCAGCTACGATTCACAGCATGAGGACAAAAACTAGAGTGATTAAACTAGGCAGTTGACTCAAGCCAGCAGAGACAGTAGATTTGGACTGATCTGAACCAACTTTGAACTATCCAAAACAGGTGTCCCCAATCCTGTTCCTGCAGATCTACCTTACCGCAGAGTTCAGCTGCAGACTTCATCACATCAAGTGCTTCTTCAGGTCCTACTCAGTAAGTTCAGTTGTGTTTTGATCAGGGTTGGAGCTAAACTCTGCAGGAAGGTAGATCTCCAGCAATAGGATTGGGCACCTGTGATGTAGAATATGCTTGGGAGTGTAACTGTACATGTTTATGCTTGGTTCATGGACTCCGATAATGAATACAGTCAGTCCAGATGTCCCAGTCACTGAACTGGCAAAAAAAGATCATAGCAGTAGAACAACTTAGGTTCCATTCACACAACACTTTGGGTCTAAAGTGCCCAGTTAAGGCTGGTTTATACTACTGCGTCAAGCACACTTGCATGCTACAGCGCGGCCTATGCTCTCAAAAAATGTAACTACACGTCGCAACGACACGTAGCGCAAGCTCTGTGATTGGTTGCCTTGGTAGCACTGACGAGTGTGGGTGGGATTGAGAGCCACGCGAGCCAGATGGAGTGATTGTTTACAAGTGTGGAGTCTCGTGAGGGAGCTCCGGATGGAAAGTTTTGTTTTGTGTTTACCTCATGGTTAAAATTGTTGCACGTCCGCTGGTTCCTGCCTCAAAATGAGCAAGTTTAAACCACTTGTACATTTTAAGGAAGCATTCAGAAGAACAAAAGACCAGTGAAGAAACTCGACACAGAGGAACAAACACCTCACTGCCAACTAGTGTTTTGGAAGTGTTCTCCTTTATGCTGCTAGCACCTCCTATAAGTTTTCTGATGGGTCCACTGCTTTAGGACTGAGATTGAGCACTCTAATATACGTTAAATTATTTTATCTTAATGTGTCTAAAATGTAAAAGAACTGAAACTACAAGTGCTGGTCATATAATTAGAATATCTCAAAACTTTGCTTCATTTCACTAATTCCATTCAAGAGGGAAACTTGTATAATGTACACATGCATTACACCCAGACTGATATATTTAAGTGTTTATTTCTTTCAATTTTTTTTATTTCACAACTGATTTGACAGTTTTTGCACATGGAGGACAAGACACAAAACGTCTTCGCAAAAACAGAGGCTGGCTGTTCACAGAGCTCTGTGTCCAGGCACATTAATAGAGAGGCGAAACAAAGGAAAAGATGTGGTAGAAAAAAGTAAAGCAATAGGGAGAACCGCATACTGGAGAGAAACTAAACCCATTCAAAAATGTGGGGGAGATTGACAAAGAGTGGACTGCAGCTGGAGTCAGTGCTTCAAGAACCACTACGCACAGACGTATGCAGGACTTGCGTCAAGGCACTCTTGAACAACAGACAACATCAGAACATATGTTTTTCCTGGGAGTCTCCCGTATTTCAGATCCATCTCCTGTATGGTTTTGTCTCCCAGAAAATTCCTGGAACCCCCACCCCCAGCATTTTGGTACAGTCCCTGGATAGCCGACCTAGGTGGTACAGATCAGGGACCTCAGACTTCACTTTGCAACAGCCCCAATCAATGATTCATTTTCCGTTGTTTTGTTTTAGCAGAAGGTTGGGATTTACCTGTAAGTTTAATATACTGTCTTCTAAATATAAAGCTTAATGTTTCATTATTCTGTTGATTTTTGTACTTTTTCTATCACAGGAAGCTCTTCAGTTCTGGAGCTGATTGTGACAAAACACTTCTACCTGTTCAAAATAAACAGAAACCCTACACCTGTGGATTTGTTGTTTATTCCTGTTGTATCGAAACATGACTTGTGTATCAGTTACTTCTGCGACCCGCTAGATATTTTGAATATGTTCCACAATGATAAAAATGTTCTTTTCTGACTTTTTCTGACTTGTTCTTTTGCTTTTTCATTCGTGTAAAGCTGCTCTGATTCACTTTACATTTGTCTAAACCGGCTTTTTACTGAAAGCAGCAGTGATAAAGAATAATATAGCTAGATCTTCAACTGTGGTTATTCAAAATAAGGCATTAGATAAAATACTTATTTTAAAATGTACAAAAATGCCACACAATTAACTTCTCTTTAACAAATTTTATCTGTTTAACTTTAACTCTGTTGTTTTACTTGCACTGTTGGCTGATTTTCACTGCTTCTTCCACATTAAGTATAAAAATCACTAATAATGATGGTAAAAATCTCTTTGATAATTATTTATACGAGAGCTTTCAATTTGCATTAAGTTAAAATAATAAAAACAATACAAGTTCTGAACTTTTATTTTGGTAGGACGGCATGACGTAATGAGGCCGCGCCGCCGTGTTTTTTTTTTTTTTTTTTTTTGTGATCCGGCTGAAGAAAGGTTGTGTATTAAAGAACCCGATTACCAAAATGGATTTAATGTGGAACTAAACATTGTTTATGTTTTTTTAACATCACCGGAGGTTGATTTATGAAAATCTGCGTGCCATTTCGCTTCCTGTATCTCCAATTTACGTCAACAAACAAGAATAATCGCAGTAAGTAGAGGGTAATGAGCTTCTAGAAACTACGAGTCAATTGAATCAAATGCTTCGATAAACGATTCACTGAATCGCCGCGCGCTGTTCAATTGGTGTAAATGAACAACAAACAAGTCATATTATACTGAAGTAATGTGTAAAAAGTCCACTAAATGTATTTTACATATCAATAAATTCATAAGTGTGTAAAATTTCTCCAGTACCTCAGGTCGGTTCAGTTTGCTGAGGAAACAGGGGTTGTGTGTTGGCACCTGCTATGTTAAGGATGTTGAACAATTAATGATAGCAATAATTAATCTTAATACGATTTTATTAACTTAAACATTGAATTAACTTAAGTTATACTCTGGCATACTTTCACATACTCTGTGTAGTTAAGTAATCTGATCTGGGTAAAGTAAAATGGCATATCTCTACAGCAGAATAGTCCGAAATAAATATGTTATGCTAACATAGACAGTACTTTTGGTATGTTCAAAATACTTTAAATACAGCAGGGCTTGTCCAATACATTATCTATCTATCTATCTATCTATCTATCTATCTATCTATCTATCTATCTATTTATTTATTTATTGGGGTTTGGTTTGAATACCATTGACAAAGACAGAGGTTTAGTGTTGATTTCTTCTTGTTTGTGTTGATTCTCCTCTTAAACAGACAGAGAAACTCCTGCTGAAGCGACTGAGCTCCACTATTATAAAGATGGCCTTTATTAAAGAGGAGTGTGAAGACCTGAAGATTGAAGACACATTCACAGTCAAACATGAACATGCTGAGCAACACACAGGTTGGCTTTCATTCTCACAGATCAGCTCAGTCATTTAATCCTAATTCAGATCTGCAGAATGAACGATGCTTTTGGAGACTGTCATATGAGCGTGATTTACTATAATCTGAGGACTTGATGAAGTGGTTCATAGTGTATATAACCAACAGTCATGCTTCATCAGTGTGAACAGCAGAGGGCTCGAGGCTGACTGATACTTCTGTGTGGAGTGATTGCCCTGACTCACGGCATCTGCCCCATGTCGTGCATTTATACTTCTGCTGCTGTTTGTCTTGCTCTGCAGTTACACTGCCGAAACACTAGCTGGCAGCAGGTTTTTATGTTCCTCCATGTCGAGTTTCTTCGCTGGTGTTTTGTTTTTTCTGAACTCTACCTTAAAGTAGCTAAAACTCAGAGGCGAGAACCGGCAGACGTTATGCAACTTTAATTACAAGGTAAACACAAACAAAAGTAGCTGGAGCTACTATCTCCCAACTGCATCTGCAACTGAAGAAACAAACTTAAATTATTTTAGCAAATGGCTGCAATATAACAAAGAGTGAAACATTTAAGGGGGTCTGAATACTTTCTGTACACACTGTAAATGACACACTTGGGATTGGTCTATAATGAACCAAGTAAGCCAGGTTTGCTAACTGCTAGCTTGTAGGTGTCTAATGCTGCGTTCACACCAGACGCGGAACGCTCGTCAAGCGCGAGTGATTTACATGTTAAGTCAATGCAAACGCGCGAATAGACATCTTTCGGTGCGATACACGCGAATGCCGCATTACGAATAGCGTGATACGCGCAAGGTGAATTGAGCGTTTTGCGCGTTTGACACGCTTAACGAGCGTTTCGCGCGAATCTCTCAAGTTTGAAAATCTGAACTTCAGCGGACATTCGCGCCGCGTTAACCAATCAGAAGCTTGCTCTTGTGGGGGCGTGATTGTGACGTAGAATCTGTTGATGGTGTCTCGGGGGAAATCCTCCAGGCGACACTGACAACAAGTCATCAAACTGGGCTGGGCTCAGTCAGAGGCACCGCTAAAATTCTCCGTCATCCAGGTTCAGTTTCTGGAGGAGTTTATGAGCTCACAGAGCTGGATGCATCTCTGAAAGGATGTAGTGGACTCAGACACGGCACTAAACGTATCGACACTAGTTTTCAGTCTTCATAAAGCACATAAACACTGTTATTTTCTTCATAAAACCCATGTTAGCCATTTAGCCATGAAGCTAGAGTCACCAGGCAGACAGAAGCCCTGCCCATCACGCAAATCCGCGCCTGTTCTGAAGTGAATTTGACGCGCGAATGAAGCGGATTTCACGCCCGAATGAAGCGGGGTTTGACGCGCGAATGAAGAGAGTAAACTCAAATGTTCACGCGGCAATTTACGTGCGAATAGCGGGATTTATCCACGCGTTACGCGTCTGGTGTGAACACAGCATTAGGTGCTTTCATACCTGCCTTATTTAGTTTGATTGAATCGCACTAGAGTTCGTTTCCCCTTTTGGTGCGGTACGTTTGGGCAGGTGAGAATGCAGCAAGCGTACTCGAGTGCCCACCAAAAGCGGACCAAATAAGCGTACCGAGACCTGCTTGAAGAAGTGGTCTCGGTACGCTTTCAAACGAACCCTGGAGCAGTTCGTTTGTGGTGAGAATATGATCCGTACTAAAACAGGTCCAACCGCAAAAAGTACTGAGCCTTTTGGACTAATCCAGCTGCTGTAGGCTGATGCGCTGTGCATTATGGGATATGTAGGAAAAATATTTGTTGACAGCGCTTTACCAACAGAGAGAGAGAGAGAGAGGAAAACATTACCTGATGGATCGTTGGTAATATTTCCGCAAGATGACCACGTCGCAGTTTAGCTAAATTGACTAACGCCTCCTCCTGAAGTGACGAGCGATGCATTAAACACTGTTTTCCAGCCGCGGCCGCGCTTCATTCTCGAAATGTATAGTTTGTCTAAAGCAGGGATACAATCAGCCAGCGCAGTCGTCCCTCCAGAGTAAAAACAACATTTCGTGTCTGCCGGTTTTGTTTTCTTGGGGGAGTTCTTTGGCATTTTCCCACACGAGAAATCTAACTAATCAATAAGCAGTTTAGGAAATATGTTCAACAACATCTGGCCAATCAGAGATGAGGATTTTGTCAGATGACTGCATTTTGGTTCGTTTCAACTGGTTCAGACCAAAGCCAGCAGTGTGGTGTGAAAACGACCCAAAGACGGCAGAAGATGCAACAATGTATCATTTATTGCGCTTGATCCGGGACCAAATGAAGCGAACTACAGATGTGAAAGCAGCCTTAAAGAAGACGACAAGTAAAAATCTAGAGGAAACCACTCTTTTATTATTATTTTTAGTAAGATCTAGCATGTCTCTTGGTGTTGACGCTGACCTGCGTTTATGTTGGTGTTTTGTGCCTTCTAAACTTGGCTAATATTGTATTTCTCTTTTTTTTTTAAGATTTGTTGGCGCTGAAAGAGGAGAGGGATGAACTGAATGAAATGAAAGAGGAAGATCAATACGAGAAACGCCATGTGATCTGTTGTGATTGTGGAAAGAGTTTCAGTCAAAAACGAAACCTGGCAATCCACAGAAGAATTCACACTGGAGAGAGGCCTTACACCTGTCAGCAATGTGGAAAGAGTTTCACTCAAAAACAAAACCTTAAGGTCCACATGAGAATCCACACAGGAGACAAGCCTTACCAATGCCAAGAGTGTGGAAAGAGTTTCATTGATAAACAACACCTTAAGGTCCACATGAGAATCCACACCGGAGACAAGCCTTACCAATGCCAACAGTGTGAAAGGAGTTTTGATCGTAAAGAAAACCTTAAAGTCCACATGAGAATCCACACCGGAGAGAAGCCTTTCACCTGCCATCAGTGTGGAAAGAGTTTGAATCGTAAAAAAAACCTTCAGGTCCACATGAGAATCCACACTGGAGACAAGCCTTACCAATGCCAACAGTGTGGAAAGTCTTTTAATCGAAAACAAAACTTTCAGGTCCACATGAGAATCCACACTAAAGAGAAGCCTTTCTCCTGCCATCAGTGTGGAAGGAGTTTTAATCGTAAGCAAAACCTTAAGGTCCACATGAGAGTCCACACTGGAGACAAGCCTTACCAATGCCAACAGTGTGGGAAGAGCTTCAGTCAGAAAGCAACCCTTGATGCCCACATGAGAACTCACAGTGGACTAAATGCGTTCACCTGCCAACAGTGTGGAAAGAGTTTCGGCCAAAAACAAAAACTTCAGCTCCACATGAGAATCCACTCTAGAGAGAAGCCTTACAAATGCCAACACTGCGGAGAGAGTTTCAGTCAGAAAGCACATCTCACAGGACACGAGAGAGTTCACACTAAAGAGAAACCTTACACGTGCCTACAGTGTGGAAAATGCTTCAGTTTAAAACAAAACCTTAAGCTCCACGTGAGAATCCACTCTGGGGAGAAGCCTTACCAGTGCCAACACTGTGGAAAGAGTTTCAATCAGAGATCACACCTTACAGGGCACACGAGAGTTCACACTAAAGAGAAACCTTACAAATGCAGCCCTATACCTGCGCATGACGTGGAAAAAGCTTCAGTCAAAAAGCAACCCTTGATGTCCACGTGGGAATTCACAGTGGACTGAATAATTCCCCTGCCAACACTGTGGAAAGACTTCAGACTTCAGGTCCACATGGGAATCCAGTCTGGAGAGAGGCCTGATGCAAATGAAAAGAGGAAACAAAGAGGAAGTTTTTTTAGTAATGTTTAACTTTGGTTGTTGAAATGGCTCAGCGTGTCTGAAAGGTCAGGTTTAAATCCGGGACTCACCAAGCCAACGGTGAACCGTCGGTGAACATTTGCTGGGGAAGTTTGCTTTGTGTGTTCCACAATTGCCATTGCTCAGGCTCATGTTGGAGGAAGTAAACCGGCATCTGCGCCAGTGTGGCTGTGAGAGTGCTCTGATTGGCTGTTCAGCTACAATGCAGAGCATGAGGACAAAAACCAAACTGATTAAATGAGGCGTCGACGCAAGCCAAGCCAACAAACCAAATCGAAAAGCAGAAATAGTGACAATTTCAAACAAAATCTCGTTGAAATTTCCGGGAGGTTTAGGCTCCTAAATAATTTTGAGATACCATTGGTCCATGGCGATTACGCAATCATAGGGTGTTTTCTAGAGCCATGGACGTTGGGGAAGTTAGAACAACTCTAAGGGCCCACACAGTTTTGGAGTCTCCAGAGTTACTATTAGGCAGTGGTACGAGGGCTTCTCTCCAGTGGTACGCAGAAGAATCGCTGAATAATAAACGAATAAACACACTGTTAACCCTTTGAGGCGAACGATAAAACTGAATCACATGTGATCCCTGAAGCGTACGATTACACCGATGTGCTTAGAATGTTTACTTTAGTGCAGGGGTGGCCAACCCTGTTCCTGGAGAGCCACCTTCCTGCAGATTTCAGTTGCAGTCCATATCAAACACACCTGCCTGTAATTATCACTTCTCTGACCACATTTCTAGAACTGCTCGATCGTGCAGATTTGCACTCTATAACATCAGAAAGATCAGACCCTTCTTATCTGAACATGCAGCTCAACTCCTTGTTCAAGCTCTTGTTCTCTCCAAACTGGATTACTGCAACTCTCTACTAGCCGGGCTTCCAGCTAACTCTATCAAACCTCTTCAACTGCTCCAGAATGCAGCAGCACGAGTTGTCTTCAATGAAGCTAAAAGAGCACATGTCACTCCGCTGCTCATCCGTTTGCACTGGCTGCCAGTTGCTGCTCGCATCAAATTCAAAACTCTGATGTTTGCCTACAAAGTGACTTCTGGCCTAGCACCTTCTTATCTGCACTCACTTCTGCAGATGTATGTGCCCTCCAGAAACTTGCGTTCTGTGAATGAACGTCGCCTCGTGGTTCCATCCCAAAGAGGGAAAAAATCACTTTCGCGAACTCTCGCGCTCAATCTGCCCAGTTGGTGGAATGAACTCCCTAACTGCATCAGAACGGCAGAGTCACTCCCTGTCTTCAAGAAACCACTAAAAACTCAACTATTTAGTCTCCACTTCCCTTCCTAATCTGCAATTGCCTCTTTGAATATCACACTAACTGTACAAAAAAAAAAAAAAAACTACTAATACTTCCCTTCTTAAACTTTACAGACCTGAAACTTGCCTTTAGTACTTATTCATTGTTGCTCTTAGTTGTGTAAATTGCTTCCTTGTCCTCATTTGTAAGTCGCTTTGGATAAAAGCGTCTGCTAAATGACTAAATGTAAATGTAAATGTGTTCAGGTCCTAATTAATTGGTTCAGGTGTGTTTGATATGGGTTGCAACTGAAATCTGCAGGAAGGTGGCTCTCCAGGAACAGGGTTGGCCACCCCTGCCTTAGTGCGTCATGAGATGTTAAAAATCAGTCCGCTCGGTGCAGAGGAAGAGGCGTGCGGGGCTTGCGGAGCGGATACGCATGTGCTAGAAAATCCCTTCTGCAGACCAGTCCTGTTGTGTTGGCATTTCAGTTACTGCAAACTCAGCAATCTCATCATGCTGCATCATTAGTAAAATAGTTATCACATATGTGTTAAATGTGTGCTCGTAGTTGTTTAAAAATAATGTGTGTTTTCGATATATAACGGTTTTAAGGCTTGATAATTACAGGCAGGTGTGTTTGATATGGGTTGCAACTGAAATCTGCAGGAAGGTGGATCTCCAGGAACAGGGTTGAGCACCCCTGAGCTAGATCTTCAACAGAGAATCATTAAAAATCATGAATCAGTTACACAAAATGTTCACTTGTTTCTTAATACTGTCTACTTGCACTAATAAGAGTTTGTTTTTATTATTCTTAATATTTATTTGCACTATATATTGTTCTCTGTAAAATTTCTGACATCATATTTTCAGCCATTGTTATTTAATGTTTATAATATATGGACTTATAAACTGGATTAAGTGGCTAATAATAACACTAATTTCCCAGAGATGTGTTGCAGCTGGAAGGGCATCCGCTGCGTAAAACATATGCTGGATAGGTTGGTGGTTCATTCCGCTGTGGCGACCCCGGATTAATAAAGGGAATAACCGAAAAGAAAATGAATAATCACAATAATAAACCACGAAATCATCTCACAGATCTTATTTCAGGCTGTGCTAATTGATCATACATTAGTTTCAAACGTTACTGCATTCTTAATTTAAAGGAAACAATTATATAGTTTTTGTATTTTATATATATATATATATATATATATATATATATATATATATATATATATATGTATATATTTTTTTTTTTTTTGCATAAAGGATAAGACTCTTATTTTGGTAAGAGAGCATGACGTCATTAGCCAGCGCCGCTGCGCTGCTTTGGCTGAAGAAAGGTTGGCGTTTTAAGGGTCTATTTTTAGTGTAAATGGTTTTCAAATGAACCTAACATTTTATTAAGCTTTTATTAACATTACCGAACATTCATTTGTGGAAATCTGCGTGTCGTTCCGCTTCCTGTGTCGTCGATCAGTTCAGTAAGTAGATGAAAAGGGGCATTCAGAATCTACGAGTCAATTGAATCAAATGTCTCGATAAACGATTCACTGAATCTCAGCGCGCTGCCGTTACCTGCTAATCAGTCAGTGTAAATTAACCAAAACAAACATGACATGTCTTACAGTGTAATTTAAACGCGTTTAAAACATAATGTACACATCTGTTAATGCTATTCGCAAAGAATAAATGCTAAACTTCATAAATGCTTCATTAACGGTGACTAAGTGATTCTCCTCCAGTGCACACTGCCTAGTGAGGTAGAGAAGTGATTGAGACACAGACAGAGGTTTAGTGTTGATTTCTTCTTGTTTGTGTTGATTCTTCTCCTCTTAAACAGACAGAGAAACTCCTGCTGAAGCGACTGAGCTCCACTATTATAAAGATGGCCTTTATTAAAGAGGAGAGTGAAGACCTGAAGATTGAAGACACATTCACAGTCAAACATGAAGATGCTGAGCAGATAACAGGTTGGCTTTCATTCTCGAAGATCAGCTCAGTCAGTTGATCCTCATTCAGATCTTTCTGAAAATGGCTGAACTTGACGTGCTGTAAAAATATTAGGAAAAATAATTGTTTTAAGGTACTTTATGATATGTTGCCAAATGGCAACAACGTCCAACAATGGATTAAACTTAGAAATTTCACATTTAGATATCTCCTTATGATTAATAATTGTGCTGTTTGTTTTGATTATGCAGTATTATAAGCTTCAACACAGAACTTGACACCTTATACACACTTTCCAACAACCCATACTCCAGCAGCTCTCATTTATTCCATTCTTTTTTGCTGAATATTATTAAAAACAAACATAATATTGTATTATCATGTAGAGAAACATACAGTAAATATCAAAATTTCCTCCAGTAAATATTAAAACAAATAAGTAACAATTGTAGTATATCCTGACATGTGACTTAACCAAAGCACATCACTGACCTCTACACTAAGGTCTTAAAGAAACAGTATCAGGGAGATGAACATAAATATCATTTATTTATTTGACATGGACATCACAATTACACTGGACAACCAAATGCATTTGTTTAAGTGTTTTAGCAAACGTGCCAATTCTCAACACCTGTGCACAGGAGGCTGGAACATGATTATTTAAACATTTTGAAACCAATTTAGGATAATTACATTTAATAAAACTATCAAAACTTCACAGTGATGCCAGCGCATAGGCTTTGAGTCGATAACTTTAGCTGCTTGTTTATATATCGAGTCAACAGGCTTCAGTGTAGTTAAAGAGGCTTGTGACCATGATGTAATGCAATACGTCAAGTGAGAGAATATCAGTGTGTGTTCATGTGTAATTTTGCAGTGTGATGTGTTAAAAACCTTCTAATTAAACGAAAACAGTTTAGACTTGACTTTCTTACTCATATTTTTAACATGACTATCACATTTTAAAGGAATGTCTAGAGTTATGCCAAAATTCATTCACTGCGGCCCTCCAGGGAACTGAGTTTGACACCCCTGGTCTATAATAAGTGAAGTTTATTTATAAACTAATTTTGAGGATCACGTGTTTATGATTGATCACAGCTGGTCCCGCATTATTAAATTCATGATTCATTAATCAGACTATTCCTAAGCTGCTACAAATACCCTGGGTTATGTACCACCGATATCTTCGTTTTGAAGAATCCCCCTTTCCACCCCTACTCCTCCCCCTTTCCTAGATGGGTGGCCCAGTGGTTAGCACTGTTGCCTTACAGCTAGAACGTAACTGGTTCTAGTCCTTACGAAGCCAGCTGACGTTTCTGTGCAGTTTAGACATTCTCCCCGTGCTCACATGGGTTTCCCTTGGGTTCCCCGGGTTCCTCCCACCGTCCAAAAACATGCAGCTTAAGTTAGTTGACTAGTCCAAATCAGCACTATAGACATGCTCCTAGTAAGCAGTTATCTCTTTAGAGCGATCACTATCCGTTCATTAGCTACTACAGCAGGGGAGTTCTCCAGATCTACCTGAGCTCAAACTCCCCTCTCGTCTTGCAAACAGGAGGGAGCCCCAGGCTCGAGGATTTTATGAGCTCAGGGCTCTTACCTGGGACAGCATGCCAAACACACTTTATACTCAATCATCAGCTGTGGGTGAACTCTTGAAACTCATTAATCCAGATATTATAAGCCAGTTTTTTTTTTTTTTTTAAACACATGTAAAAATATTGCTAGGACCTGACATTACTGAAAACGCCCATCTTAGTAACTTAGTGCTTTTAAGGTCTACCAAGCTTGTTGTTTTGGCTCAAATGTATTTATGTCTGTTGTCAGGGCCGGCGCGTCCATAGAGGCGACCTAAACGGCCACCAAGGGCGGCAGAATAAAGAGGGCGGCGTCCGCGACACTACCCTCACCACCCGCGCCCTCAGTTATATCCACGTCTAGGCTGGCTGAATAGGGAGGGCAGCATCCGCAACACTACCCTAACCACCGGCGCCCTCAGTTATATCCACGTCTAGGCTGGCAGAATAGAGAGGGCGGCGTCAGCGACACTACCCTCACCACCCGCGCCCTCAGTTATATCCGCGTCTAGGCTGGCTGAATAGGGAGGGCAGCATCCGCAACACTACCCTAACCACCCGCGCCCTCAGTTATATCCACGTCTAGGCTGGCAGAATAGAGAGGGCGGCGTCCGCGACACTACCCTCACCACCCGCGCCCTCAGTTATATCCGCTTCTAGGGCGGCACCGCGACACTACCCTTAGCACCCGCGCCCTCAGTTATATCCGCTTTTAAGGCGGCAGGATAGAGAGGGTAGCGTCCGCGACACTACCCTCAGCACCCGCGCCCTCAGTTATATGCGCGTCTAGGCTGGCAGAATAGAGAGGGTGGCGTCCGCAACACTACCCTCACCACCCGCGCCCTCAGTTATATCCACGTCTAGGGCGGCAGAATAGAGAGGGCAGCGTCCGCAACACTATCCTCAGCACCCGCGCCCTCAGTTATATCTGCTTCTAGGGCAGCAGAATAGAGAGGGCGGCGTCCGCGACACTACCCTCACCACCCACGCCCTCAGTTATATCCGCGTCTAGGCTGGCAGAATAGAGAGGGCGCCGTCCGTGACACTACCCTCACCACCCACGCCCCCAGTTATATCCGCGTCTAGGCTGGCAGAATAGAGGGGGCGGCGTCCGCGACACTACCCTCACCACCCACGCCCTCAGTTATATCCGCGTCTAGGCTGGCAGAATAGAGGGGGCGGCGTCCGCGACACTACCCTCACCACCCGCGCCTCAGTTATATCCGCTTCTAGGGCGGCAGAATAGAGAGGGCGGCGTCCGCGACACTACCCTCACCACCCACGCCCTCAGTTATATCCGCATCTAGGCTGGCAGAATAGAGAGGGCGGCGTCCGCGACACTACCCTCACCACCCGTGCCTCAGTTATATCCGCTTCTAGGGCGGCAGAATAGAGAGGGCAGCGTACGAGACACTACCCTCACCACCCGCGCTCTCAGTTATATCCGCTTCTAGGGCGGCAGAATAGAGAGGGCGGCGTTACCGACACTACCCTCACCTCCCGCGCCCTCAGTTATACCCCTCAACTTTTGCTTTATTGTTGAGGGCGGCGGGACCATCCTTTGCCTAGAGCAGCAGTTCAGCTTGCTCCGGCCTTGTCTGTTGTTTTGTTTCTTTCAACTAGACTAAACTTCTATTTCTCTTTATTTGCTTTAGATGTGTTGGTGCTGAAAGAGGAGAGTGATGAACTGAATGAAATGAAAGAGAAAGATCAATATGAGAAACACCATGAGGTCAGGACTGTTGGAAAATCTGTGAAGATGGAAGAGACTCATCTAACGACGGAAGACGGAAAAACCAAATCCACCCGTCTTTTCACCTGTTGTGATTGTGGAAAGAGTTTCAGCCAAAAACCAAACCTGGACGTCCACAGAAGGATTCACACCGGAGAGAGGCCTTTTACCTGTCAACAATGCGGGAAGAGTTTCAATCAGAAACAAAAACTTGAGTTCCACACAAGGATTCACACTGGAGAGAAGCCTTTCTCCTGTCAGCAGTGTGGAAAGAGTTTCGCTCAACAGACAAACCTTAAGGTCCACATGAGAGTTCACACCAGAGAGAGACCTTACACCTGCCAAGATTGTGGAAAGAGATTCTTCCACAAACAAAACCTTAAGGTCCACATGCGGGTCCACACTGGAGAAAAGCCTTACGTTTGCCAGCAGTGTGGAAAGAGTTTCAGTCAGAAAACAAATCTCGACGCTCACATGGGAACTCACAGTGTAGTAAATCCCTTCATCTGCCAACAGTGTGGAAAGAGTTTCGGTCATAAACAAAATCTTAAAATACACATGAGGGTTCACACTGGAGAGAAGCCTTACAGCTGCGGGCAGTGCGGGAAGAGCTTCAGACAATACCCATCCCTCAAAATCCACGTAAGAATTCACACCGGAGAGAAGCCTTACACCTGCCAGTGTGGGAAGAGCTTCACTCAGAAAGGACAGCTTAAAAAACACATGCTAACACACGATGAGACGCAGCATTAAGGCTGAATTACACTTCTGCGTGGAGTAAGGGTGTAACAAAACACTCACGGTACATTGTGTATCACAATGTAATGTTCACACTACGATATGTGTCAGGATATTTCTTTAAAAAACGTTACGGATCTTCAATGTATTTCTTTTGTTGAAACGTCTTCCATTCAAAATGAACCTTCTTCAAGACAATTAATTAAATAGGCCTGTTTCTGGAAAATAAAACAATTTAAAAACGTTTTATAAAATATTATTGAAATGACAAAATTAAAGGAAACTTCTTAAAGGAGTGAAGGTGCAAAAAGAGTTCCCGGTATTGCAGCTTGTTGCTCGAGGCAGCGTTCCAGCATATCCATTGAGCTGTTCCATTGTGTAGTAACATCTTGAGATGTGATCTCAAGCATCTTTTGCTTTGTCGTGAGCACAGCTGTCGCAGTGGCACTGCTATGAATAAAAGCCACGACTTCTCACTCGGCCAAGCAATCGACCAACGCAGGGAACATTCAAACCTGCTGGCGAAGCGAGATTAACGACCGATTCACACGGGGCTTCAGCGTCAACGCTTGACAGAGGCCATGTCTGAAGTTGGGGCTGACGCGATCGTCATAGCAGCGTCAGCCAATGAAATTAGTCAGCAATTGGCTACTGTCTGAGCTGGTGCATACAGAGATCTGATTGGCTGACGCTTCCATTAGCGCATGATTAGTTGCAAATTTTTCCCAACTTCTGCAAAGAGCAACGCCACAGACGAATCATCCTAGTTTTTCTTGATTTTTGTTTTTTGCGTTTGAAAATGACAGATTTTGTGGCGGTAATTCCCAGAAAATTGCGGACAATTTTGCGATTAAACGTGTATATATCTATATATATATATATATATATATATATATATATATATATATATATATATATATATATATATATATATATATAATATGTATATAATAATATATTTTTATATATATATATATATTTATATATATATATATATATATATGAAAAAAATTATATGTGTTTACCATATTAGGTAGCTTACTATGTTACGCGTGCAATATGGAACAATGACACAAATCATAAAAATCCAGCTTTTTTATTTTGATCTCTTGTCAAGACAAGATCTAAAACAGTAGGGATCAATCCAGAGGAAGTTTGTATTACTCTGATTTAGATCTACGATCTTACTTTCTCACTCCCTGGAGCATCTGTCACTCATAGGACATGCGCTAGGGCTTGAACAAGCTGAGCACTTCCCCGCCCCCCATTCCATGTGATGTTTGGATTGTGAGGGCGCAGGTGAAACGTCATTTTTCGAGACACTCAAATACATCACGTGCTCTGCGTATGCAACGTCTAGAAGTCGTGTAAAACAAACTTGAACTGAATAAATATATTGTGATTATATGGTTTGAAATTTGATGTTTTACGAAAATATTTTTGCGATTTGCGTTTAAATTAAGAATTTCGCAGGATCGCGAATTTTTTTAAAACTTTTTGTTGATTTTGCGATGGACTCTGCGTTCGCGGAATCGTGAAAAACTAGGGGGTGTGTCTATAACCGCGGGTGTGATGTAATGTTGTACCTAGGCTCCAGTACTCCAGTCGCAATTTTGTATGGCATAATTTTTTTAGAGTTTACATACAGTTTGTTTTTTTCTGCTTTTTTGTTAACGTCCTCTCCAGTGACAGGAAAACCGAAATGTTGCCAGACGTCAGACTTATAAGTGGATGGGGCATCCTCAATTTCAACTGCACTCATATTGGCCTTTTAACATTACTGCTGCTAGTCAGTGCCTAAGTTGTGAATTGCGAGGTCCCGGAACAGATCGGGGTAACGGATCCGTCATGAAACCTTAGGATAGAGAGGTGTCGCGCACGAAAGTGCAAAGCGGGAGAGGGGTATTGATTGGCAGAGGGAACGAAGGATAGAAAGTGAAGAGTTGTCACGGACGAAAGTGAAGAGGGTTGGGGAGTCGTCGAAGAAAGTGAAAGTGAACAGCGGCCAAGACAGGTGGAGGAGAAAAACTAACCAAAAGTAATGAAACCAGAAGCTGAAATATTCTCAAATATTGTGTACACAAACGCTGCTTTGTTCACTGTCCGTATAGTTTTAGTTTCCCTTTGTGGATTGACATGGCATGCTGTACTGCCACCTGCTGGTGTGGAGAGGTGCACCTTTGATCTGTTGTTATCCATTTAATAGTGTGTTCATGCTAGGCCTGATCTGATTCGGCACCTCATTTTACCGATCCCCCTCCTCGACCACCCTACGCCCCTCACACTTTCATCTACAACATCCCTCCACCATCCACCGCACCAACAAATACCACTGTAATGTTTTAGTTTCATAAATCTGTTCTAAACATTTCGTCTTTAAGCTAAAAATGTTTTATTCATTGTACTCAAATGTCTTCAATTAGTTTGGAATGCATACACAGCCCCAGACCTTAAAAAACAAATGCAAATAATCACTCAATGACTCCGCTATCATGCGATGCGACTATTGGAAGTTTGCACATTGCGATATCGATGCTGAAACGATATACTGTGTCACTCTAGATCTCTTTGGCCAGCCTGAACTCATTCATTCATTCATTTTCATTTCGGCTTATTTATCAGGAGTCGCCACAGTGGAATGAATCGCCAACTATTCCAGCATATGTTTTTTCAGCTGCAACCATAACTGGGAAACACCCATACACACTAATTCACACACATACAGTACGATCAATTTTGGCTAGCTGAATTCCGCAACCCATCTGTAAACTTGTGGATTTAACTGTGTCTTTACATTTGCCTGCTGTAAAATGGCTCAATACTGAATTATATAATATTAGTCCTTCGGTGTATATAATAGGTGTATATAGTATGATAAACATGGATGTACAACATATATTTAACTAATTTTTACTTCCTTTCCCAGGGATGGGCTGGAAGGGCATCCACTGTGAAAAAACTTGCTGGATAAGTTGGCGGTTTATTCCGCTGTGGCGATCCCAAATTAATAAACGGACTAAGTCGATGAGAAAATGAATGAATGAATTTTTACTTTCACTTTTCCCTACTGAAAAAAACCAGCTTAAACCAGCCTAAGCTGGTTGGCTGGTTTTAGCTAGTCAACCAGGTTGATTTTAAAGGGTTTTGTCCATTTCCAGCCTGGTCTTAGCTGGTCAGGCTGAAAAATGACCAGCCTAAACCAGCTTGACCAGCCTGGTTTAAGTTGGACGTAGCTGGTTTTGGCTGGACTCTCAGCCTGGCTAGGCTGGTCAAGCTGGTTTTAGCTGGTCATCTCCCAGCCTGACCAGCTAAGACCAGGCTGGAAATGGCTGGAAACCAGCATGGAAGTGGCCAAAAACCCCTCTAAAACCAGCCTGGTCGACCAGCTAAAACCAGCCAAGCCTATGCTGGCTTAAACCGTTTTTTCAGTAGGGTTGTCTAATTTCCACTGTGCTGAGTTGGAGAATCACACATCATCACACAGTAAGAATGGCTGAGCTAATTGATGATTAATGAGCTTCCAATTTCACAGCATTCTACTATACAAGCAACATACAATTTCTGAATTCGTTTTTTGAATATAATATGTTTGCGCCCCATGCCAAAACAAAAGACTTTTATTTTGGCATGACGTCATGAGAGCGCGCCCTCGCGCTGCTCCATCTGTGATCCGGCTGAAGAAGTGTTTGTATATATCTGATCATTTCAACATGGTTTTATTGTGGAATGTTACAGCTATTACGCTTTTTTAACAGTGTAGAGGGTTAATCTGCAGAAGTCTGCGTGTCATTTCGCTTTCTGTATCGTCAGTCAGTTCATCAAATGAGTGAGTAGATGAAAATGAAACTACGAGTCAAATGAATCAAATGCTTGGATAAACGATTCACTGAATCGCCGCGTTCTGGCTTCGCCTGCTGGTCAATCGGTGTGAATGAACAAACATACTTTGTACGTATTTCATAAAAACAGCAAGAAACATAATACATTACAAAACATGTGTAATTTAAAGCCTTTTAAATATATTTTACAAGCCATAAATGATAAACTAGTTTGTGTTCTGATGTTTTCAGCGGGTTTTTCCTGATCATATTTAAGTGCAAAGCTCATTTAACTAAGTGATTCTCTTCCAGTGCACTGACTAGTGAGCTAGAGAAGTGATTGAGACACAGACAGAGGTTTAGTGTTGATTTCTTCTTGTTTGTGTTGATTCTTCTCCTCTTAAACAGACAGAGAAACTCCTGCTGAAGCGACTGAGCTCCACTATTATAAAGATGGCCTTTATTAAAGAGGAGAGTGAAGACCTGAAGATTGAAGACACATTCACAGTCAAACATGAAGATGCAGAGCAGATAACAGGTTGGCTTTCATTCTCACAGCTCAACTCAGTCATTATTGGAGTCAATATTGGAGTTACTAAAAAGCACTCGGGGGTAGCTCAAATATTTGGTCGGTGCTCTTTGGGACTCATCAAAACAACAACAGGAATCAGTCCAAGGCGCTCGAAAAATGTGGAAAATCTAAAAAGCCGTTATTCACATGGCTAAACCTTAAAACACCTACAAGTTTCAGCAATGATCTGCCTTCATCAGGGTAACGCTGATCAACAGTAAACATGACTTATTTAAATATCTCAATATCACTCGAATAATATAACAAACAGGGTCAACTATCATCATTAATTCAGCATAGATAAAGGGGGACATATACATACACGAACACACTTGCATATATATAAATATATAGAACTAATAGGCAAATATCTACAGATAAATAATACGCTTAAACATGGCATGTACGCACATATATACACCAAACGAACACACATACATACATGTTGTCATGCATATATATATATATATATATATATATATATATATATATATATATATATATATATATATATATATATATATACACATAAACATATATAAACATGTACACATAAGAATGCATATACAAACACAAACCTATTCAACAACATATGATGATAATCTGTAAACTATAGAAAAACTGTTACCAAAAACAAGAGAAGTCTAATACGCCATTTAAACCTGGAAATCTGGTTGCGTTTATAGCTCCAAAAGGTCTCTCTCTGTTTTAATCTTTTTATCCTGACTCCTGCTCTTGTAGAATTATAAATATGTTCAATACTATTTTTAATGAACTGGGATTGCCGTGACTTTGATGTTTGTGTATGTATATGTCCCCCTCTATCTATGCTGAATTAATGATGATAGTTGACCCTGTTTGTTATATTATCTGAGTGTTGTTGAGATATTTAAATGAGTCATGTGACCATAGTACTTAAAAGAGACTCTAGACCAGGGGTCATCAGTCTCGTTCCTGGAGGTCCGGTGCCCTGCAGAGTTTAGCTCCAACTCTCCTCAACACACCTGCCTGGATGTTTCAAGTATACCAAGTAAGACCTTGATTAACTTGTTCAGGTGTGTTTGATTAGGGTTGGAGCTAAAATCTGCGGACACCGGCCCTCCAGGAACAAGTTTGGTGATCCCTGCTCTAAACGCACTTGATCACCGCTAATAGCCGCGTGAACATTTGAGTTTACTCGCTTCATTCGCGCACCAATCCCCGCTTCATTCGCACATCAAATTCACTTCAGAACAGAATCAGGTTTGCGTGATGGGCAGGGCTTCTGTCTGCCCGAAGACTCTTGCTTCATAGCTTAATGGCTAACATGGATTTTATGAAGAAAATAACAGTGTTTATGTGCTTTATGAAGACTGAAAAACAGCATCAATACGTTTAGGTCGTGTCTGAGTCCACTACATGCTTTCAGAGGTGCAGCAGCTCTGTGAACTCATAAACTCCTCCAGAAACTGAACCTGGATGACGAAGGCTTTCAGCTGTGCTTCTGACTGAGCCCAGGCCAGTTTGATTAACTTTTTGACGGTGTCCACAGGCGATACGTAACACTCACGCCTCCACAAGAGCAAGCTCCTGATTGGTTAACGAAGCGCGAATGTCCACTGAAGTTTATATTTTTGAACTTCAGCGAATCGCGTGAAACGCTAAATTTGTGAGTATCGCACCATTCGCATCGCGAAAATCACGCAATTTGCATCATTCGCACGTTTGCATTGACTTAACATGTAAATCACTCGCGCTTGACTGCGTTCCGCGTCTGGTGTGAACGCAGCATTCCTCTAGCTCTAAATTGTCTGAGCCCTAATGGTTGTATAATTAGCACTTGTTGTGTGTACTGCCTCTTCTTGTAGAATCGATGAATGCCTCCTCAACGGTAAGTTGCTTTAAACCAGGGGTCACTAGTCTCGGTCCTGGAGGGGGGGGCAGTGTCCTTAGACAGTTTAGCTCCAACTCTCCTCAACACACCTGCCTGGGTGTTTCAAATATACTTAGTAAGACCTTGATTTGCTTTATCATGTGTGTTTCATAAGGGTTGGAGCTAAAATCTGCAGGACACCGGCCCTCCAGGAACAAGTTTGGTGACAAAGGCATCTGCTTAATGACTAACTGTGAATGTTTCCATGTCTTTCGTTTTGTGCAGGGGTCACCAATCTCGGTCCTGGAGGGCCGGTGTCCCTGCAGAGTTTTGCTCCAACTTGCCTCAACACACCAGCCTGGATGTTTCAAGTATACCTAGTAAGACCTTAATTAGCTTGTTCAGGTGTGTTTGATTAGAGTTGGAGCTAAAATCTGCAGGACACCGGCCCTCCAGGATCAAGTTTGGTGACCCCTGGTTTTGTGTTTTCACACTGGGCTAAACTTGCATTTCTTTTCTCCACTTTAGATGTGAAAGAGGACAGTGATGAAATGGTAGAGAGAGATCAGTATGATTTCGTGACTGTTGAACAATCTACGAAGACAAAGACTCAGGAAACCAAATCTAAGCGTATTTTCACCTGTTGCGATTGTGGAAAGAGTTTCAATTATAAGCAAAACCTGGAAGTTCACCGAAGAATTCACACTGGAGAGAAACCTTACCAATGCCGTCAGTGTGGAAAGAGTTTCAGTCAAAAAATACAACTCGAAGGCCACATGGGAGTTCACACTGGAGTAAATCCCTTCACATGTCAACAGTGTGGGAAGAGTTTCAATCGTAAACAAAACCTTAAGGTCCACATAAGAGTTCACACAGGAGAGAAGCCTTACCAATGCCAACAGTGTGGGAAGAGTTTCAGTCAGCAAAAGAACCTTGACAGCCATTTAGTAATTCACACTGGAGCAAACCCTTTTGTGTGTCAGCAGTGTGGGAAGAGTTTCAATCATAAGCAAAACCTTCAGGTCCACATGAGAATCCACACTGGAGAGAAGCCTTACCAATGCCGACAGTGTGGAAGGAGTTTCAGCCAAAAAACCCATCTTGAAGCCCACATAGGAATACACACTGGAGTAAATCCTTTCGTCTGTCAACACTGCGGAAAGAGTTTCAATCAAGAACAAAACCTTAGGGTCCACACGAGTGTTCACACTGGGAATAAGCCTTATATGTGCCAGTGTGGAAAGAGTTTCATCCGAAAAGGACAACTTGAAAAACACATGACCATTCACACTGAAGAGAAGCCTTACACGAATATTGATGAATCATAGGACTCACACAGAGAAGCTCTGTGGAAATCTGGTGGAAGGCCAACTGCATGCTTTTGGGTATTTAAAACTTTGGTTGTTGCGATGCCAGACTGGCAACATTTCCATACACCCAGATAATTTGTTTGTAATTGGATTGGCCGTTCGATCTTATTGAAAACTGTTCAAATAAATGTAACGGAGGCCAGCTAGTACGTGCTGTGCAGGTAATCCTCACTCCTTTAGAGGCCATGGTCTTTAGCCTCCTTGGTAGAGCAACCGACTTGCGGAAGGTTACCAGCTCAGAGCAGGTTGGGGGGTGTAGGGCCCGCGGGGTTACATTGGTGCCGTGACCCGGATGGGAGTGAGGTTTAGGGGGTGAGTGTAACGGAGGCCAGCTAGTGAGTGCTGTGCAGGTAATCCTCACTCCTCTGACCTCTAAAGGTGCTCTAGCGACGGACGCTAGAGGCCATTGTCTTTAGCCTCCTTGGTAGAGCAACCGACTCCCATGCGGAAGGTCGCCGGTTAGATCCCAGCCAGGAGCGGGTTGGGTGGTGTAGGACAGGCGGGGTTACATAAACACGTGATTGAGTTCATTTGGATTGGAAAGGATGGTTTAATCTGTCTGTAATTCAATCCAACAGCAAAAAAAAACTGCATGTAAGCACTTGAATTGTGGCTTGAAAAATGGCTTTCTTTCTTAATTATTTGCCTACAAAGAACATGCGCATGCGGAATAGACTTTCAAAATTAAACGCTTTTATCTAGGTTGAACTTAAGCATCAAATCATTTCTTAATCATCAGCACATCGCCAAACAATCTACTGCAGATTTTAAAACAAGCCTTTAATTTAGCGTTAAAAACGAATTCTTTGGATTAAAACCAAACCAGATTTAAACTCATGTTCGTTACCTATTTAACTTCCATGCAGAACAAATATGAAGGACTTTTAATTTAAACTTGCAGCATTTGAAGATGTCCTATAAAGAAAATCTTTGTTTACAGTCCAATAATAAGAGATCAGTATATGGAAATGTCCATACCGTGTGACACCATTGCTTCCTTGTTCTCATGTAAATTCCAGTGTAAAAACGTGGTAGACAACAGGTCAATCAGAACACGAAGCAGACTGTTGCGTGACTCGCACACCCTTCCCTCATCATTGGCGTGTACTTAAGGTTGTTTATCCAGACTTGACAAGCAACCATGTCATCAGGAGAACAGAGACTGAAACTATATTTAACTTGCCATGTGTGTGGGACTTTTATTTTGTAAAAAGGAGACACAGATTGTTTCTAAACAACGACTAAGACGTGTTCAAACTTGCAGGACACAAAATGCAGGATATATACAGATTCTACATGTATTCAGCTCCTCTTTAAAGAGGGATAAGGTATGTTTAATTGTATTTATCATCTATTAATATTTACAATCGATCCAAATATGGTCAATTATAGACTTTTTAATCGTAGGGGTGTTTTTTAGAATGATAAATGAGCATATTAAACTATTTTTAACTTGCTTAAGCCATAAACCCACTCTGTAGATGTCTGAGAACGTATTACGAATACACATTTAGCGTATTGAATCAATGCAGCATATGTCTCGTTTAAGATCTTGCTCAAAATCAGTGATCTAATCTGCCGGATTGTAACGCAATATAACATGAGTCTCACACCAGACAAGCTTCGCCGCATTAAATCACATTGCACTATCTCAGTTCATTACAATAGGAATATTTACTTTACCTCAGTGATTTCTATGGGTTTTTCGAGCTGGGTTTGTTTAATGTACTGGATTCTGATTATATTACTGCTATCGCTGTTTAAGGAACGTTGTGAAATTGAAGACAAAAATGCTTTCACCAGTCTTCAACATGCCCTGTGCACAGATGTAGACTTCAGGGTCTATTTTCAGGGGTTTTGTTTGTGTTTATCCGCAAATCTTTTATTAAGGACAAAGATTTGATGTACAAATACTTAGTTACTGTACTTAAGTAGATTTTTCTGCTATCATTACTTTTGTTTTTCGGACAACTTTTTACTTTGACTCTTACATTTTTACACAAATATTTGTATTTTCCACTTATTACATTTTTAAATCAGGCTCGTTACTTTCGTTTCCATGTGTTTAGTGGCACAATCTATTATATTTCTTGTCACTACCATATTTGGACCTATAATCGCACACCGTAGGGATGGGAAAGACGGGTAGTCCGCGATGTAAACATGACTGATGTCATGTTTAAATCAGGTAATAAGATGCGTTTTGGTCAATAGCATAATTCAAACAATAATTTGTAGTCAAATACATTCAGTTTTTTTTATTTTATCAAAAGAAAATAAGCGAAAATCAGTTTTGGACGAAATGAAGTGTTAAATTTAAGACATTTATTAGTTGTAAATACAGGATATAGGCAGGAGAAATGTGTTTTGGAATATACTACTACTAGAAAATGGCTACTTTGCTGCTGAAAGATGGCAACAAAATTTGTACAAAAAAAAAAAAACAATATATGTATACACGATGCGCAGTTACGACCATGAAACTAAAACAGGGATAGCAATGAATACTTGTTGCTTAAGTACTTATTTTAGGCCGTACTTCTGTACTTTTACTTGAGTACAAAACTGGAGTCAGCACTTCAGAGTGGTTTTAAACATGAGTATCTGTACCTCTACTCAAGTAAAGGATGTGTGTAACTTTTGCCATCTCTGAATAAGGAGTCGGACAAACACTTGTCTTTAATATGGAATACAGGCATTTCTAGAATTAGGAAAGCCAAAGGATCTTGGAGGATTGGGGCTACCTGACTTTATACTCTACTATTAGTAATGTTTTCATGTCTTTTTTATGTTAATAATTTTTTATTTATTAAGTTATTAATTGGCCTCTGATAATTAAAGGGACTAAACTGAAGCAAAATTAATGAATGAACTGCTTAAAATATTCACCTGGTTTTATTTTCCACCTAATTTTGTATTTTTGTCCATTTTAACTAATGTCTATGTTCTAGTTTTACATGTAACATTCCTACTTATATTAGCTTATAATATGTGTTCATATTTGCCATCTACTGCACTGTAAAAAAATAAAAAATAAATCCTGGTCGCCTTAAATTTTCAAGCTGAATCAAATAAACCCTGTGAGCCAATTGAACTTATATTAGGTCAAACTACATATAAAAGTTACCAGTCACAGTAATAGCCTTGTAGGCTACATGCAACTGGAGGGAGATACCAGCAGTGAGCATGACTTCTGTACAAAATTTGTCTTAATATTTAATATATTAAGAGAATTTGGCACAACAAACATCAGCCTGTGTTGAAAAATCACAAAGAGGTAAGAAGGGCTGTGCTAATTGATACTACATGAGTTTTTAAAGTTGAATGAGTCAAACATGATATCATTTCTGAATTAGATTCTGATTTTTTAGATTTGTTCGAGTGTAAACAGATATTTATATCATATTTATATCATAGTGTATGTATCTATGGAGTGTAAATAAGACTTATTTTGGTAAGACGGCGTGACGTCATGAGTCCGTGGCTCTGCGCTGCTTCGTCCGAGATTCAGCAGAAGAAAGGTTGCGTTTACAAAATGATTTTTGTTATGGAGTCAAACAATGTTAAGCATTTTTTTAATATTATTGAATTTAAACATGTGAAAAGCCGCGACTCATGTCGCTTAATCAGTTCATCAAACGAGAATTATCACAGTAAGCAGATGAACAGGAGCATTTAGAAACTACGAGTCAATTGAATCAAATGCTTTGGTAAATGATTCACTGAATCGCCGCGTTCTGACGTCACCTGCTGGTCAATCGCGGTAAATGAACAACAAACACAAGCGTGAGGTATCTTTTACAAAACTGTATATTAAATACTTATACACATATTATACAAATCATTGACTTTTCCTGAAGCATCAGTGCTAAACGTCATGTATAATTTGTGTTCTTATAGCTTATGTTTTATTTGTCTGAAACTGACTGATTCTCTTCCAGTGCACTGACTAGTGAGCTAGAGAAGTGATTGAGACACAGACAGAGGTTTAGTGTTGATTTCTTCTTGTTTGTGTTGATTCTTCTCCTCTTAAACAGACAGAGAAACTCCTGCTGAAGCGACTGAGCTCCACTATTATAAAGATGGCCTTTATTAAAGAGGAGAGTGAAGACCTGAAGATTGAAGACACATTCACAGTCAAACATGAAGATGCTGAGCAGATAACAGGTTGGCTTTCATTCTCAAAGCTACAGCAAATTACAGCTAATGCTACAACTGCTCTTTCTAGAAAATTGCCTGAACGAATTTACCGGTATTTTAAAAAAGGGCCTGTTCACAATTGTCGACAATTTTGTGCGAACGAGGCTAGTAACACTTTATTTTTCAAACTGACATTTCAACTAGCGCTGTGCTGTTAACACATGAATTTAACATTTTAATTTCACCCCTTGTGTGCTGTTGGGTCGTTTTCATTCACTCTGGGCTGATTTTGAGTCTTAATTTGACCACAACCTTCTCATTTGTTCAGCAAATGAAATGATTTTTCCTGACAAATATTTTGGGAAAATGTCTTGAATTCAACAATGCACTCAAAAATGGACAAAATTACTACCCTTTGGCTATGTTGGTGGCTGTTTTTGCCCCATTTACTTCCATTTATAATCACATTTATTGATTGGAAGGCCATGACGGCATATAATCATGCACATATTGCACAATTTGTCATTTGTACTGTTGATCATCAGTTACAATGCAAAAAGTTTAGTTTCTGGCTCAATATGATATGGTTATATTGACTATATTGTGTGTTTGTGAGATCTTTGCACACTTACCTTGATATTTTTTAGTGAGGGGAAGTTCGGATAATTTTACTGACTCGGATCTTTGAGTCACTTTCATCGAGATGAACAAATCTTTTTTTGAGTCATTTGGTTCAATTTGCTAAAATGATATTAAAATGTTACGAATTGCTTTCAAACACATCTACAACTAGCCCAAAAGGTTGATCACAAGACAAATAAGTCATCAATAGAATGCTATAAGAAAGAGAAAATAATAACTCTATGTTGACCTGCTCTTTTGTCTATGAAGGTATTGTTGTCTCTTTGCTCAGCTCACCTCTTCATGTCTTCAAATGTCAGGGGTTCGTTCAGGTTACACTGGCAGTCACATATAATCTTAACCAATGTACACAGTCTGAGCCGACAGGAGCCATGATAAGTAGTCCACCTTTTGAGTCTTCTGGCTCTTGAGTCCTTCGTTCATCACGTGACAGAATGACTCAAACCCGAGGACTTGAGAGCTGAACGGTTCAATTCTTTTTCCGGCTCGAAATACGTATGATTGGCCCGTGACGAACGAATGACTCAAACCCGATAGAGGACTCGATGAACGGATCAATTCTTTTTCTGGCTCTAAACGCTTATGATTAGCTTTTGCCTTTCCACGATGAACGACTCAAAAGACTTGAAATGAACGATACCACCTGCACAAATGTGCGCACACGCGGATGAACGAATCACTCCCTGAGAAGACTCGTAGTTCCCGAGTCATATTAAACATTCATTCAAAATGAACGAATCGTTCATGAACGACCCATCACTAATAACTTTGCGAAAGTAAAAAATAAGCACACCAGCACTCAAGAACATATTAAGTACACTCACACACTCACACACACTATAATTTGTTGTCTTATTCCATGCAACCCCATACAAAAGTCAGAAACTTTTTTTTTGTACAGGCCTATCTAAAGAGTTAATGGTGCCAACTGATGATCAAGACTACAAAATAAAAGTTTTACCTCTTCCCAACTTTATAGTATTTATTGCACTATGTTCGGAAGATAAAGTTGCTGGAGGAATCAACGGGAGTTTTTCAAATTAATGCAAAGAAAAAAAATAAGTAAGGGTAAAAACCCTTTTTCAAACCACTGTACGTACATGGGTTGGACAATGAAACAGAAACGTTTGATTTTAGACCACAATAACTCATTAGTAGGGTGTAGGGCAGGGGGTGCCCAACCCTGTTCCTGGAGATCTACCTTCCTGCAGAGTTCAGCTCCTACCCTGATCAAACACACCTGAACCAATTAATAAGGACCTGAACACCACGCGATAATTACAGGCAGGTGTGTTTGATATGGGTTGCAACTGAAATCTGCAGGAAGGTAGATCTCCAGGAACAGGGTTGGCCACCCCTTATTTTGCAGCCAATACAGCATTCAGTCCTGCACAGTGGCCAGAGGGATTCTTCTTGCAGAATAGTGACCAGGTCTCTATGGGATTCTGGTGGAGGAAAACATTTCCTCACTCGCTCCTCCAAAACACCTCAAAGTCCTCAATAATATTTAGGTCTGGTGACTGTGCAGGCCATCGATGTCCAAATTCACTTTCATGTTCATCAAACCATTCTGTCTCCAGTCCTGCTGTGTGTATTGGTGAATTATCTTCCTGATACACAGTACCACCTTCAGGATACAATGTTTGACCCATTGGGTGCACATGGTCCTCCAGAATGGTTGGGTAGTCCTTGGCAGTGATGCACCCATTTAGCACAAGTATTGGGCCTAGGGAATGCCATGATATTGCAGCCCAAACCATCACTGATCCACCCACATGCTTCACTCTGGACGTGCAAGAGTCTGGGTGGTGCACTTCTTTGGGGCTTCTCCATACCGTAACTCTCCTAGGTGTGGGATTGGCAGTGAAGGTGGACTCATCAGAGAACAATACATGCTTCACATTGTCCACAGCCTAAGATTTTCGCTGCTGGCATTATTGAAACAGACTTTTGGCATTGGCACGAGTGACTGGCTCTGTGGAGCTACAGACCAGCAGTTTTGGTGGAGACAGGAGATCTGTGCTATTACTCTGCTAATTAAACCTTCACACTCTGCTCTTATTTGAATGTGCAATCAGTGAAGATTGACCACCAGGCTGGTCAAATTTATTCATGAAATCTCCAACACTAAATAGGCCAGTGTTTCAGTTTTATTGTCCAATGCCTGTATACACAGTCAAGCACAACATTGTTCATACCCCAGGCAAATTCTGGACATAACTTAGGACGCGGGTGGTGAGGGAGGTGTCGCGGATATAGCTTAGGACGCGGGTGGTGAGGGAGGTGTCGCGGACATAGCTTAGGACGCAGGTGGTGAGGGAGGTGTCGCGGACATAGCTTAGGACGCAGGTGGTGAGGGAGGTGTCGCGGACATAACTTAGGACGCGGGTGGTGAGGGAGGTGTCGCGGACATAGCTTAGGACGCAGGTGGTGAGGGAGGTGTCGCGGACATAACTTAGGACGCAGGTGGTGAGGGAGGTGTCGCGGACATAGCTTAGGACGCAGGTGGTGAGGGAGGTGTCGCGGACATAGCTTAGGACGCGGGTGGTGAGGGAGGTGTCGCGGACATAACTTAGGATGGGTGGTGGGGGAGGTGTTGCGGAATCCACCCTCTCTATTCTGCTGCCTTAGGCGGCCGCCTAGGTCGCCTCTATGGACGCGTCGGCCCTGATGTTGAGGCAAGTTATAGCTAAACCCTGCAGGCCACCTGACCTCCAGGAACGAGATTGGTGACCCCTGATCTATAGCTATAAGCTCCAAGTTGAAGGGTCTCCTTGCCATCACCCTGATCTTTAGCTCCCTCTACAGATTGTCAATTGGATTTAAGTCAGGACTCAGTGGGGATGGTGTTGTTAAGGTTGACAGCTTCTCCTTTGTATTCCAAATGAAGGTCTACAATGCTACATCATTTTGGCTAAAGAATTCAATTTTTGTTTCATCTGACCATACAACAGAATATCAGAAGTCTTATGCGTCTCGATGAGCATTTGCAAAGGCTTTTGTTTGCCTTTTGTGTGCCTTCTCTGGAGATGTGGTGCCCTCTTAGGTCTGTGTCTGGGGACCCCATCAGTATGCAGTGTATGTTGGACTGTCTGCCTTGAGAGTAATCAGGATGGCCTTGGTGGTGATCCTTGGATTCCTCTTTACCTCTCTCATTATCCTCCTGGCCAGCACTGGCGACCATGTCTGCTGGGATTTTTCAGTGCAGAGCATCTTGTTGAGCTCATTTTGTCTAAAGCTGCACTTTTTGCCCCATAGACTTCTATTCATACGCATGCGAATGCGGCAAACCAGAAACGCAAGCTCGTGCAACAAGTTTCACAGTTCGCTGCATTGCAAAGTTCAAGCTTGGTGAACACTCATCACGTGAATTCGTGAGACTAATCAAAGATTTTGGCAGTGCCGTATGACAGAATTTTGCATGCTTAAACTCATGTGACCTTGACATAAGCCATGACTGTCCACAAACCAACAGCAGAGAGCTTCTGTTTTTCACCTTTTGAGCTGATTAAAGCAGCTGTTCTCAACGAATCAGGGCAAGTAGGTACTTTAAAACCGCTTAGACTGTTGTGAATGGTGCAGAACTTAAGATTTTGCATGGAGTGTGCCGGTTTGCAAAGGGTATGAATCATTTTAGATATGCGACATTTTTGTTCCTGTGAAATTCCTGTTAAAACAAACCTACTGTCTGAATAAAAGTAACTTTAAATGAGAATTTGCCAGGGGCATGAATAATTTCGGGATTGACTGTACATACATTTGTGATTGGTCTGTAACAGGGGTGCCCAACTCTGTTCCTGTAAATCTACCTACATACCTACTGACTTGCAAAGTTCTGCTTGATCAAACACACATCTTTAATTAGCAAGTGCTTCTTCAGATCCTACTTAGATGGTTTAGTTGTTTAATCAGTTGTTTAATCTAAGCTGAACGGTAGATGTCCAGGAACAGGGTTGGGCACCCCTAGTCTATAATAAACCTAGTAAACCAGGCATTCAGAGCAAGTGGTTTTGCTGACAGCTTGTGTGTTTTTCTAGGAAGACAACACGTACAATATTTTGCTAGGCGAGGGTATTTTAGTTACTTGGTGTTTATAAGATCTAGCTTGTTCACTGGTTTTGGTGATCAATGTATTTGTGCTGGTCTTCATGTCTACTGTTGTGGGCCTTTAAACTTGTCCTTTCTCCGCTTTAGATGCGTTGGTGCTGAAAGAGGAGAGTGATGAACTGAAGCAAACGAAAGATCAATATGAGAAACACCATGATTTTGTTGAAGAAAATACAAAGATGATGAAGACTCAGAAAACCACATCCAATCATCTTTTCTCCTGTCGGGATTGTGGAAAGAGTTTCAGTCAAAAACAAAATCTTGAATCCCACATGAGTATCCACACTGGAGAGAAGCCTGACAACTGCCAACACCGTGGAAAGAGCTTCAGTCAACAAAAACACCTTGAGGGCAATGTTGGAATCCACACCGGAGATGAGCCTTTAGCCTGTCATCAGTGTGGAAAGAGTTTCAATCATAAACAAAACCTTAAGATCCACATGAGAATCCACACTGGAGACAAGCCTAACCAATGCCAACAGTGTGGAAAGAGTTTCATTCATAAGCAAAACCTTAAGGTCCACATGAGGGTTCACACCGGAGAGAAACCGTACCACTGCCAACATTGTGGAAAGAGTTTCAGCCAACAAACTAATCTTGAAGGGCACATGAGAATTCACTCTGGAGTAAAGCCGTTTACCTGCCAAGAGTGTGGAAAGAGCTTCGTTCATAAACACAACCTTCAGCTCCACTTGAGAGTTCATACTGGAGAGAAGCCTTTCAAATGCCAACACTGTGGAAAGGGTTTCGTTCATAAACACAACCTTCAGCTCCACTTGAGAGTTCACACTGGAGAGAAGCCTTTCAAATGCCAACACTGTGGAAAGGGTTTCAGCCTACAGAAAAACCTTGACGGCCATGTGAGAATTCACACTGGGGAGAAGCCTTTTTCCTGTCCTCAGTGTGGAAAGAGTTTTATTGATAAACAGAACTTTAAGGTCCACATGAGGGTTCATACCGGAGAGAAGCCTTACCAGTGCCAACAGTGTGGAAAAGGTTTCAGTCTAAAAGCAAGTCTTGATTGCCATATGAGCATTCACACTGGACTAAAGCCTTTTGTCTGCCAACAGTGTGGAAAGAGTTTCCACCAAAGACCAAAGCTTAAACTGCACATGAGAGTTCACACTGGAGAGAAGCCTTATATGTGCCAGTGTGGGAAGCGTTTCACTGAAAACGGACAACTTAAAAGACACATGATAACTCACACTGCAGAGAAGCCTCACGCGAATAAAGATAAATCACAAGACTCACACAGAGAAGCGCTGTGAACATCACTAGTGGAAGGCCAATGGTTGTTGGTGGTCGCATTGAATGGTGGAAGGGTGTCGCGGACGATGGACGAAAGTGAAGAGCGGGGGTTGTCGTGGATGAAACTGAAGAGAGTTGGGGAGTTGCGGAAGAAGGTGAACAGCGGACAAGGGAGGAGGGCGGTTGAGGATCTGTAAAATCAGGTGCCGGATCAGATTTCAGAGGTGCCGGCGTTTTCCAGCACAAATTAAGCCCTGCTTATAGTACTACTCTAATCCTTATAACCATGTCTTCTTGTCAGTACAGGGTGTTCATGAGCACTGTGCTATGATGTATACTTTGGAGGTTAACAAGGGTCTGACAATGAAACTGAAACGCCTGGTTTTAGACCGCAATAATTCATTAGTATGGTGTAGGACAGGGGTGGCCAACCCTGTTACTGGAGAGCCACCTTCCTGCAGAGTTCAGCTCCTACCCTGATCAAACACACCTGAACCAATTAATTAGGACCTGAACACCACGTGATAATTACAGGCAGGTGTGTTTGATATGGGTTGCAACTGAAATCTGGAAGAAGGTGGCTCTCCAGGAACAGGGTTGGCCAACCCCAGGGTGTAGGGCAAGGATGTCAAACTCAATTCCTGGAGGGTCACAGCTCTGCACAGTTTAGTTTCAACCATAATTAAACACACAAGATAAAACTAGTTGAGTCCTTCAGGCTTGTTTGAAACCTACAGGCAAGTGTGTTGGAGCAGGGTTGGAACTAAACTTTGCTGGGCTGCAGCCCTCCAGGAATTAAGTTTGACATCCCTTGTGCAGGGCCTCGTTTTGTGGCCGATACAGCCTTAATTTGTCTTGAAAATGTGTTGAAAATGACACGTCATTCCCAGAGAGATTTTGAGCTATTCTTCTTGCAGAATAGTGGCCAGGTCATTACGTGATGCTGGTGGAAGGATAGGTTTCCTGATTCGCTTCTGCAAAAAACCCCAAAGTGGCTCAATAATATTTGGATCTGGTGACCATGGGAGATGTTCAACTTCACTTTCATGTCCATCAAACCACTCTGTCATCATTCTAGCTGTTTGTATTGGTGAATTATCATCCTGAGAAACAGTACTACTCTCAGGATACAATGTTTGACCCATTGGGTGCACATGGTGCTCCAGAATGGTTTCCTATTTAGCACAATTATTGGGCCTAGGGAATGCCATGATATTACAGCCCAAACCATCACTGATCCACCCACATGCTTCACTCTGGGTGGGACACTTCCTTGGGGCTTCTCCACACCGTAACCGTAACGAAGGTGGACTCATCAGAGAACAATACATGCTTCACATTGTCCACAGCCCAAGATTTTAGCTGCTGACACCATTGAAACTGACATTTTGCTTTAGCATGATTGACCAAAGGTTACACTATAGCAGCCCGGCCATGTATATGGACCCTGTGGAGCTCCTGATGAACAGTTTTAGTTGAAACTGGATAGGTTTTATGCTTTTTTTTTTTTTTGGTATGATCCAAGTTAGCATCCGTATATCCCTTTCAGACAGTTTCCTCTTGCATCCACAGTTCTTCCTATTGGATGTGGTTCTTCTACTTGGTGGTTTACTGACATTCAGTTGAATACCGTGGCACCTTCCTTACCCCCCGCGTCCTCAGTTATGTCCACGACACCTTCCTGACCACTCGCGTCCTCAGATATATTCGCACATAGGCGACAGAATAGAGAGGGCGGCGTCAGCGACACCTCTATCAGCACCCGCGTGTCCTCAGTTAAATCCGCGCATAGGGTGGCAGAATAGAGGTCTGTTACACCCGAGCATCCTCAGTTAGGCTATATAGTTAGGCATAGGGCGGCAGAATAGAGAGGGCAGCGTCCACGACAACTCCCTCCCTCAGCACCCGCGCGTCCACAGTTATATCCGCGCATAGGGCTGCAGAATAGAGGTCCACGACACCTCACTTCATTTTCATAACCGGTCATTTTCGTTTTCACATTGGGGTTGAGGACGGCTTGATCGTCCTCTGCCTAGAACGGCAGTTCAGCTTGCTCCGGCCCTGGATGCACAATAACAATGTGTCCTCTTTTAAACGCTGATATATTACCAGATGACATAATGCTGTGTGCATTGCAATATTTTAAGCTAAACTGTGCTATTCGTCTGCTAATTAAACCATCACACTCTGCTCTCACTGGTGGAATGAAGATCAGTGAAGATTGTCCACAAGGCTGGTTACATTTAACCATGAAATGTCCAACACTAAATTAGCCAGTGTTTCAGTTTCATTGTCCAACCCATGTCACTCATAAAGCGCTTAACATTTTTTATTTCTGACTTTTATTATTTGCCTGTTCATTCTTGGAAAGCTGCTCTGACACAATCTGCATTGCATTAACCGAGGTGATACTCAGATATTCATTATGTATTAGGGCTTGTTCAGATTTCATCAATACCTTAATCTCTTACAGGTTTGGAACGAGATGAGGGTGAGTAATTAATGTCAAAACTTATATATTTTAGGGGAACTATCCCTTTAAGGATCAGGTGTGTATACTTATGAATGGGGACATCAATAAAAGTTATGCTACTCTAATTTTCTCCTGTGGACTAAATGTAGATGTGTGTGAAATATCTTACTCGTGTCACTATTAACAACAAACAACACGCATTGTGTGTGATTAAACTGAGCCTAAGTTAAAGAATAATACAAAAAAATAATAATTTCTGGGTCAGCTTCTGAATTTCAGATTTTTGCATGCTGACTTTTATTTTGGCAGGGCGTCATGGCGTCATGAAGCCGAGCTGCGGTCAAGCCTAGAAGGGATACGCGCATCAATGTAGCATAGTTTCTGTTCAACAATTATTCATATTTTTACATTACTGTGAGGGTTGGGATTAGGTTTGAGGTAGGGGAAGACGTTAATGAACTACAATTATTGGGCAATTTCATTAAAAAATGTGTAAATAATTCTAATTAACTTCCAGCCGCAGCTGTATCCCTTCTGCTTTGTGTGACTCGGCTGGAGAAAGGTTTGTCTTTTAGTATCATGTATGTATTAAACTGGTTTTATTGTGGAATGTAACATTGTTTAAGTTTATTTATCACCATTGTAGGGTTATTTATGAAAATCCGCGTCTCATTTCGCGTCTGTGTCGTCGATCAGTTCATCAAACGACAGTAAGTAGATGTTAATGAGCTCCAACAGACTACGAGTCAATTGAATCAAATGCTTAGAGAAACGATTCACTGAATCGCCGCGTTCTGCCAGGCATATCAACAGCGTGACAAAACAAATATCACATATTTTACGAAACATTCTGTGAGTTAAATGCTTTTAAATTGCACAAATAATGCCATTCTCAAAGCTTAAATGATAAACTTCCTTGATAGTTGGTGTTCTTAAGTGTTTTTGACTCATCAGGAGAGGTGAATAACGGTAGTAGTTCTCCATCTATGTTAACATCTACACCCTTTTTATTATTCAGATTGAAAGATTTACTGAATCAGGAAAGCTAGATAAGGCTGCATGATTAATCAAAGACCCTTTTTGTGCTCATGTTGTCTGTAATTTTGCCTTTAATCAGCTGTAAATCTTCATTACCGTCTATAAGATGGAGAAGTGTTTACTACAGAGCCGTAGTTCACTGACAGCAAAAGATCCTGAAATCCATGAGAGTTACTCTGATTTGACGGCTGTTTGCTTCTCTTAGTGATTTAAGGCTCTGTGTTTCTGTTGATCTCAAAGCTTGTGGAAAATACCACATTAAATAAAGTTTTTACTCCTAACTCACCCTATAACTTCAGTCGAGTGCTTGAAATGTGATGGTTGTGTGTTTATTAGTCACATTGAATCAATAAATGCAGTCAATCCTCTGCTCTTTCTGTGTGCCTAAAAGTTTGAAAACCCCTGAGGTTTAGAGACAGAGGTTTAGTGTTGATTTCTTCTTGTTTGTGTTGATTCTTCTCCTCTTAAACAGACAGAGAAACTCCTGCTGAAGCGACTGAGCTCCACTATTATAAAGATGGCCTTTATTAAAGAGGAGAGTGAAGACCTGAAGATTGAAGACACATTCACAGTCAAACATGAAGATGCTGAGCAGATAACAGGTTGGCTTTCATTCTCAAAGCTACAGATCTACGCTAATGAAGGATGTTGTTGGAGAATGAATGTCATTACAGTGATTTTACTGCTCATGGTGACTCATGTGGACAGACATGGTTTAGTCAGAACACACAAACACCGACGAAGACAATGTGCTAATCTGGAAAAACTAAAGTAGAAGTTGATTATTTGGTGTAATATTAAAAACCAAGGTCTGACTTTAACAAAAATGAAACCATTTAAAGTAAAACGCTTTCCATGACTTATCTAAAGAGTTAGTAAAATTACACAAATCCTAGTGCATTTCCTGAATGAGTTAAGAGATGTTGCCATGTGAGTATTGTTGCCATTCCCGTTCACAACACTTAAAAGGGTTGTTCAGGGACTGAAGACAGCAAGTGTTTGAGGTGTAATTTTGTCCTTTTCTTCCTGCAAACAAGTCTCAAGGTGGACAACAGTACGGGGTCATCATTGTAGCATTTTGCGCTATAAAATGCGCTTCAAATTCTCTATTGGAGACAGGTCGGGACTGCAGGCAGGCAGGTCAAGTACCTGTATCCTCTTCCTCCGCAGCCAGAACTTTGTAATGTGTGCAGAATGTGGCTTGGCATTGTCTTGAACTATGCATGGGCATCCCTGGAAAAGAAGGCAGGATATTGTTTTTCAAAGTCTCTATGTACTTTTCAGCATTAATGGAGCATCACAGAAGTGCAGGTTACCTTTGCCAAAGTCACTGACACAACCTGTACTCACAACTTCTCCCATAAAACAACTGTAATACTGATTCATCTGAGCACAGTACACGCTTTCACTGTGTAATAGTCCATCCCAGATGCCTCCTAACCCAGAGAAGTTGATGGTGCTTCTGGACACTGTTAACATAGGGCTTCCTTTCGGCACAGTACAGTTTTCACTGGCATTTGTGGATGTAACTACACATTGTGGTACTTGACAAAGGTTTGCCGCAGTAGTACTGAGCCCATGTGCTGATCTGGCTTATAGATGAATGAGGATTCTTGATGCAGCGCCGCCTAAAGGGAATCGGAGGTCACGGTTGTTCAGCTTAGGCTTGCGCCCTTGTCCTTTACGCATGGAAACTCCTCCAAATTTCTAGAATTATTTAATGCTGTTCTGCTCTGTTGAAGGTAAAATATCCAAATGTCTTCCTCTCTTTCTTTAAGGAACATTTATTTTTAAACAATTTAATAATTTTCTGATGTATTTGTTAGCAAACTGGCTATTCTCAGCCCATCTTTGCTCCTAAAGGACTTGACCTTTCTTGGATGCTGCTTTTGTACCACATCAGTACAGTCCTTATTTAACCAATTTACCTGATTACTAGCCCTAAACTGCTTCTGTCGCAACCTTTTTCGGAGTTTGTCACAAGAACCAAAAATGGAATCTGTGTTTATTTTGAGGAAACAAAAATCCATGAGAGACACATTAAATAATGCTTGTGGTATTGCATTTCAGGCTTTTTTGTTGTGTTAAACTTGGCTAAACCTCTATTTCTCTTTGTTTGCTTTAGATGTGTTGGTGCTGAAAGTAGAGAGTGACGAACTGAATCAAATGAAAGAGAAAGATCAATATGAGAAACACCAGGAGATCAGGACTGTTGGAAAATCTGAGAAGAAGACTCAGAAAACCAAATCTCACGCTCTTTTCATCTGTTGTGAGTGTGGAAAGAGTTTCAGCCACAAGCCAAAACTGGAAGTGCACAGAAGAATCCACACCGGAGAGAAGCCTTATGAATGCCAACATTGTGGAAAGAGTTTCAATCAGAAACAAAACTGTGAAGCCCACATGAGGATCCACACCGGAGAGAAGCCGTACAAATGTCAGCAGTGTGATATGCAATTCACTCAAAAAGCAAACCTCACGGTCCACATGAGAGTTCACACCGGAGAAAAGACGTTCAACTGCCAACATTGTGGGAAGAGTTTCTTTCAAAAGCAAAACCTTAATGTCCACATGAGGGTTCACACTGGAGAGAAGCCTTACCAATGCCAGCAGTGTGGGAAGAGCTTCAGTCAACCGCAGAACCTTAACGTCCACCTGAAAGTTCACACTGGTGAAAAACCGTTCACATGCCAGGAGTGTGGGAAGAGTTTCATTCATAAACAGAAATTTGAGGCCCACATGAGAATCCACACTGGAGAGAAACTTTACAAATGCCTTCAGTGTGGGAAGAGTTTCAGTCAAAAGACATACCTTGAAGACCACATGGGAATTCACGCTGAAGTGAAGCCTTTCAGCTGCCAACAGTGTGGAAAGAGTTTCAATCAAAAACAAAAGCTTAAAATGCACATGAGAGTCCACACCGGAGAGAAGCCGTACAGCTGTCAACACTGCGGAAGGAGTTTCAGTCAAGCCGTAACCCTTAAATTTCACATCAGAGTTCACACCGGAGAGAAGCCTTACATCTGCCAGTGTGGGAAGAGTTTCACTCAGCCAGGACAACTTAGGAAACACATGAAAATCCACACCAAAGAGAGGCCTTAAAGAAATCTTCAGAGAAGCTTGTTCCTAAATGAAAATGGAGGCAGGATAATCAAGGCGCTGCACCGTTTTATGAATTCATAGTTTTGTTGTTGTTGTGTAAAGCTGCATTGTGTCTGAAAGGTTATAGATAACAACGTGGACCTTCAGCATGCACTGGGGCGGTTTGCTGCCGAGTGTTACATAGCTAGACTAGGGACATGGTGCTCCACTGGAAAAAGGGGGTTTGCCATCTCCAGGTTGAAAGTAAGTCCTTACCCCAGGTGGAGGAGTTCAAGTATCTCGGATTGGTGCAGCGGCAGCAGTCATGCGGTTGATGTACCTGTCCGTCTGATAAAGAAGTTGAAAGGCAAAGCTCTCGATTTACCGGTCAGTCTACATTCCTACTCTCACCTATGGTCATGAGCTTTGGATCATGACTGAAAGGACAAGATCTTGGATACAAGCAGGGGAAATGAGTTTCCTTCACAGGGTGGCAGGGCGCACTCTTATAGGAGCTCGGAGTAGAGCTGCTGCTCCTCTACATAAAGTCACCTGAGGTGGCTCGGGCATCTGTTTCGGATGCCTCCTGGACGCCTACCTAGGGAGGTGTTCCAGGCATGTTCCACCAGGAGGAGGCCTCTGGGAAGACCCAGGGACTATGTCTCTCGGTAGGCCTGGGAACGCCTTGGGATCCTAGCTGGTGGATGTGTCTAGGGAGAGGGAAGTCTGGGGTTCCATCCTGATACTGCTGCCCTCGCGACCCGACCCGACCCCGACTCATACATGACGAACATTAAATTACGTCATGCATTTTAGTGAGACCATGCACCATACTAAAAGAGTCAGTCAGGACTCTCTAGTTATTCCTTTAGTATGAAAAGCACTGATGTATGAAGCATGTTATGGGCACACCGAACCAACAGGAGGCAGTAAAAGCCTTAAGGCTGATTCATACTTCTGTGTCAAGCTCACGCATATGGTCTGAGAGATCTTCTGAACACAAAATGAAATATTTTAGATGAAGTTTGAGACCTCAATGGACAGCCAGGAGCAACAAAGTCATACTCACAGTTTTTTGTTGCCTATGGAGGATGAGGGAGCTCTCAGATTTCATTCAGTAATTCATTTTCCTTCAGTTTAGTTCCTTGTTTATCAGGGGTTGCCAGAGCGGAATGAACCGCCAACTATTCCAGCATATGCCTTACACAGCGGATGCCCTTCCAGCTGCAACCCAGTAATGGGAAGCACCCATACACACTCACACACACACACACACGCACTCATACTCTTCGACTAGTTTAGTTGATCCATTCCCCTATAGCACATGTGTTTGCACTGTGGTGTTTTTCATCTAAAATATCTTCATTTGGATCCTGAAGATGAACTGAGGTCTGCGGTGTATGGAGAGTGCATGATTAATAACAGTATTGTAATATTTGGGTGAACTAACCCTTTAACCCCTCATGCTGGTGGAGTGACCTGCGTAGATGTCTGAAGACGCATGTTTCATCAATTCTCCAACAATAACACTTCTTAAACTGTGTTGAATCCGTCTATCAGTCTGTTCTTTGCTGGTTTCTAATAAAAACAACACCCACACAATGCTAAGCTAGCCTTTAGCTTCTGCACATTGTTTGCTTTTTGCTGGTTTGCTTGCCTTTTTATGTTAAAAGTGTCTGCTAAATGTATGAATGTGAATGTTAACTTATTAATTGACTTGATGGCAGGAGGACTCCATCTCAATCAGGATTCACTTCAGTTCCATGCTGAAAAAACAGCTTAAACCAGTCTAGGATGGTTGGCTGGTTTTAGCTGGTCGACCACACTGGTTTAAGAGGGGTTTTGGCCACTTCCAGGCTGGTTTCCAGCTATTTCCAGCCTGGTTTTAGCTGGACCAGCTTAAACCAGCTTGACCAGCCTAGCCAGGCTTGGCTCCCAGCCAAAACCAGGATGGTCAAGCTGGTTTTAGATGGTTTTTGCTGGTCACTTTCCGGCCTGACCGGCTAAGACCAAGCTGGAAACCTGCCTGGAAATGGCCAAAACCCCCTCTAAAACCAGGCTGGTAAACCAGGTCAAACCAGCCAACCATCTTAGGCTGGTTTAAGCTGGATTTTTCAGCAGGGTTTCCAGTTCTTCTCTTCACTCTTTATTACACACAAGGGATTTTGTACCGCTGTAATGAGTTCAAAGTATTTCTTATTAACTGATTATTGCAGCTTGTGCTTTAGGAACAAGCTTTACTTCAGCTTTACTCTTAAAAGGAGTAGACGAGGAGTAAAAACCAGGTAAACACAGAGTAAGCTGCCATTTTTATGTCAGTAAAAACAAACAACACACTTACAGCTGCAAAAATATAAAATATAAATGACTTCAGAAATCAAATCTCATATTAAAGGACTTCATGTTTAGATCCAGATATTGTACTTTTCCATCCAATGATTATACAGTAAAGATTTGTTAATTTTCACTGTATTATCTAAAGAGGATGATAACATTTGTGAGTAAGATCTAATAGTTAACTTGAAAAATCTGATAGTTTTTATAATAGGCTTCATATGTCATTCTAGAAATGCTATTAACACCCTTGTAGTTGATTAACATATTTTAATATACTTTATTTCACCGTTTAATCGATCTTTTTTAGTCAGTATTTCAGAATTTTGCCCGCAGGTAAGACTTTTATTTTGGTATGCCGACGTGACGTTATAAGCCAGCGCATCGCTGCTTTGTCAGATTCGGCAGAAGACGGGTCCAGTTAATAGGTATGTATATTTCCAAAACTGTTTATTATCTGAATGCAGAATTAATATGCTTTATTTGACGCTATTGAAGCTTGTATAGTGAAATTCTGCGTCTCATTTCGCTTCCTGCATCGCCAGTCATTCATTTACTGTAATTGTTTATAACAACAGTGAATTAAATCAAATGCTTCGACACATTATTCACTCAAACACCGCGTTTGTCGTCATCTGGTTAATTAATAACATTAATAATACCTACAACAATACTTACAAAGCATAAATATGAACTTTATGTGCAGTTTGTGTTCATATATTAGTTTGTTTATGTGAGTTTGCCTGATCTGGAGAGTGCTTTAACTGTGGCTCACTTTAGTTTTCACTTTAGTTTCCACATTGTCATTTCGTTCTCCTCTTAAACAGATAGAGAAACTCCTGCTGAAGCGACTGAGCTGTACTGTTATAAAGATGGCCTTTATTAAAGAGGAGAGTGAAGACCTGAAGATTGAAGATACATTCAGACATGAAGATGCTGAGCAGATAACAGGTTGGCTTTCATTCTCACAGCTCACCTCAGTCATTTAATCCTCATTCAGATCTGCTGAGCAGAAGGGTGTTGTTGGAGAATGTCATACGAGCGCCTCATTACACTGATTTTACTGCACATGGAGATGTGGACAGACATGATAAAACACGTTTTATTAATGTGTCATATAAACAGGTTGTGTAAATTTAGGAAAAATAATGCAGAAATATTTATTAAATAGATTATTTTGCACAATATTTAACCCAACATCTATTATTTAAATGAAACGATACATTTTTTTCATTACTCAAATAGGCATCACTTAATTTAACGATCAACTTTAGACTTCTTGTCAATGGGTTGGTATCATTTAACACATTTCAGATCATTTTAGCATGATTACAGATTATTTTCTTAGTAATTAAAGTGTAATTTTAGTTAATTGTGCAACCCTTTGCTTAACATGACCTAAAAACCAAACTCCGTTAATAATATTATTATTATTAAATTATACCACATATAACGACTTTCATAAGCTGCTGAAAGAAATATCCATGTAGTCATTCTCCAAATATTCTGTTTTGTAACTGTGTTTTATCTTATTGTAAGTTGTCCCTGTACTAGGCGCCTTGACGTTGCGCCTTGACATTCTTGAGCACTGGATAAAATTGTTCTGCCTAACTGAGCTGAATATTTGCACGTATTCATAGCCCATGTAACCCTGAGTATGATTTATAAAAGCTGGGAATACCCCAGTCTTCTTTAGAAGAGAGCAATAAACTGTTGGATTCACATCTCTCAGTTGTTGTTGCCTTCCTGGAGCTCCAGCTTACTGAGGAAACACACAGACGGTCTGCAATTTATCCCAACAACTTGGTGACCCCCGACGTGATGAAGCTGATCAGGTAAGACATGAATTTGGTTTTGACTACCTGATTAGTTTCATCACTGAACTGAGTGTTCAGGAAGCTGGCAAGACATGAATTTGGTTTGACTGCCTGATAAGCTTCATTACTGAACTGAGTAATCCTTGGCTGGGATTTTCCCTGAAAAGCCAAGAAGAGCGCGCTATACAAAAGTAAAACGATCATTCTGTGTGTTTTCTAGTAAGTATTTACTAACATGGGTGGTTCATACCCCAAGCCTGAGATAGGGGAAGGCCCTAAAGATTGGATGTATCGATGTGGGTGGGGATATTACACTAATCCATGGTTAGATAATCTAGCAGGGTGGACTGAGGCACAAGCGATGCGTCCCTACCCTAGAGATGGGTCATTTGACCCCCATGTGCTAAAACGGGCTCACAAATTAATTTATGAAAGTGAAGGAGATCCCGAATGGGACCATGATTATATGAAAAAAGGGTTATGAAATCTGGATGAAGATGATGAGTGTGTGGAATGATAAACAAAATATTAACCTACCAAAAGAGGTAAAGAAATTAATTCCGAAGTCTCTTAAAGGCTCAGCATCAAAGATTGAGGTAAAAAGAAAGGGGACACCCAAAGTGCCTCCAGCCCCCATTGTTACTGTTCCCTCAGTTACAGTTACTGTTCCTACTCCTACCCTCTCCTCCCCCATTCCTGATGAGGGGCAAGGAAAGGCACATCAGAGGATGCCTCTGTATC